GCCACAAGAAGCTGCAGGGCCGCCTGCAGCTCTTCGGCCAGGACTTCAGCAGGGCAGCACGCAGCACCCCCGATGGCGTGCCCTTCCTGATCAAGAAGTGCATCTGTGAGATCGAGCGGCGGGCGCTGCGCACCAAGGTGAGGCTGGGCACCGAGGGGGCCGGGTGCGGAGATGGGCGTGGGCTGAGGCCAACTGCTCCCTCTCCAGGGCATCTACCGGGTCAACGGGGTGAAGACGCGAGTGGAGAAGCTGTGCCAGGCCTTTGAGAATGGCAAAGAGCTGGTGGAGCTGTCGCAGGCCCCGCCCCACGACATCAGCAATGTCCTCAAGCTCTACCTGCGCCAGGTGAGACCCGCTGAAGGTGGGCAGGGCGGAGGCCCAGCCGGAGCTAGTGCCTGGATGGGGCATGGCCAAGGCAGGAGCAGGTAACACCGGATGGGGCGGAGAAAGGCCGTCGTGGGTGGGCGGGGCTGAGGCTAGGGGCGTGGTCGTGGCTGGCGCTAGGGGAGGAGCCTTGCCAGGCGTGCCGGGCTGGGGCAGGCCCACCGACCCCAGCGCTAACCCCTCGACCGCCCGCAGCTGCCAGAGCCGCTCATCTCCTTCCGCCTCTACCACGAGCTTGTGGGGCTGGCCAAGGACAGCCTGAAGGCGGAGGCTGAGGCCAAGGCGGCCTCCCGGGGTCGGCAGGACGGCTCCGAGAGTGAGGCGGCAGCCGTGGCTATGGCGGGCCGGCTACGGGAGCTCCTGCGGGACCTGCCACCTGAGAACTGGGCCACGCTGCAGTACCTGCTACGGCACCTGCGCAGGTGAGGGCAGGGGTGGGGGCGGCCGGGGTCTCCAGGGGCTGCTCACATGCACCCCTCACGCTCCTGGCCCCCCAGAATCGTGGAAGTGGAGCAGGACAACAAGATGACCCCGGGGAACCTGGGCATTGTGTTCGGGCCCACTCTGCTGCGGCCTCGGCCCACGGAGGCCACTGTCTCCCTCTCCTCGCTGGTGGACTACCCCCACCAGGCCCGCATCATCGAGACCCTCATCGTCCACTACGGCCTGGTCTTCAAGGAGGAACCAGAGGAGGCACCTGAAGGCCAGGTGAGGACAGGGGTCAGGCCCAGGGCCATCCGTGCAGGTGATGGTGAGGGCTGTTGGGGGCAGTGGTGGTGGTCTGTTGCACCCACGATGGGGAAAGAATGGGTCTGGACAGGGCCCATTTTATTTGCGAGGTGCCTTCTAAGCAAAGAACTGGCGGAGTCCTGGGTGGTGCAAAGGCCCCGTGGCTGCCCCTCCACTCTCTGGTACTCATGTCAGACCTCTCTGTCCGCCACACCATTGCTGGCTGGCTCAAGTCACCTGACCCTGCACCCAGCTGCCAGGTTTCGCTTTCACCTTCTCAGGCCTCCGTTTCTAGGAATTGTGTCTGTCTCATTTCCTGAAAGCGCCTTGTCCCCTTCTCCTGTCTTTAAGTCTTCCTTCTATTTCTTTATCTGTTTTCCGGCGTCTCTCATGTGGAGGCAGCTTCCTCGGTTTCCTCCTCCGCTGCGTTGGATGAGCTCTGCAGAAGCTCAGAGTGGGTTGGGGGTCGGAGTGGCTCAGCCTCTGATAAGAGCTGACTGCTGGGGCTCGGCCTGATTATATCAGTGTCGTGGGTCATGGCCTCAGCAGGAGAGGTGTCAGTGACTTTTAGGGGGTTGTTTTGTTAATTTGTCCCTGGCCCCTCTCTGACTTCTGTTCTGCCCTCGCAGGGCGGGTCCTCTGACCCACAGGCCGAAGAAGTGGTCGTCCAGGTGCCGTACCTGGAAGCAGGCGAGGGGGCTGCCTACCCCCTGCAGGAGGAGGTGGAGGACGGGGGAGAAGGTGAGTGCCTCTGGTCACCGCTCAGCCTGTCACCTCAGCGACGCTGGGGGAGGCCAGGACGTTTTGCCAGCGTGCACAGGTGCCTGGTGACAATGTTGTGCGCACAACAGCTGGCTGGTCCGCGTGTCAGTGCCCGGAAGCCGCACATTCTGTGGATTTTGTCTGCCGTGAGGACCACATTTGTTGAATGTTCGTTCTTTTTTCTTTGCTCTGTTGCAAACACAAGCAAAGCAGTGCTTTTTCAGGGTCCACACTGAGAAATGGGCGCCTCGAATGTTCAAGCGATGCCCGTGTGCTGTCTCTAGAGACACCAGGCGCCAGGCCGGGCTGAGCACATCGCCCGCGGGCCTGTGCTTTCCGAGGGCAGGGATGGGGCTTGGTTGGGGTGGGGCCTGCCTCACGGTGTCAAAGGCGGCTGACCTGGGGCCTCCCTTCTGGTCGTGGGACGCCGCTCTCCTCCCCCATCTCTCTTCCTCAGAATCCCGAGTTGCATCCAACGACTCGGACTCGGAGCTGGAGGAGGCCTCTGACCTGCTGTCGTCGTCGGGTGCCAGCACCCTGCACCACTTCAACTTCCTGGAGAAGCAGGAGTCTGAGGCCAGCTTGGAGGAGGGTCCCCACAGCGGCAGTGGCAGCGAGGAGCAACTGGAGGCTGCGGCCAGGGAGGATGGGTTTGAAGATGAGGGCGGCCCAGCCCCGCGGCTCTCCGTGTACAACACCAACCAGTCCAACAACGTGGCACGGAGCCGGCTGCCCACCGTGAGGCTCCACGGCGGGCGGATCGCGCTGGGCACCTGTGGGGAGAGGCAGCCGGAGTTTGTCTGAGCCGCCCATGGCCAGCTTCTCTCCTGTAGGCTCCAGCCCCTCTGGAGCGTCCCTGGCCCAGTGCACAGCTTGGCCACACTGTCCTGGGGTGGCTGCCACAAGCACCTGGACTTGGACAGTCCCACCAGCACATGGTCTCCTCCCTCCAGCCCACACAGCAGGGGGGGCAGTGCTGGCCACCTCCTCCCGGAAGCGTCCAGGAGCATGAGGGCCAGCTATGCTGCGGGGACCCTGCACACCCCCACTCCATGCCCCAGAGCTGAGCTGGAGGAACTCTGCTCTCTCGTCAAGTCACCCAGCCTTGCTGCAAGCACCCACAGGGCTGTGTGGACAGAAAAACCTGTCCCTGCTCAGTGCACCCTCATTCCCCCAGGGCCTGGTCACCACGTGGACAGCAGGCCGGGCCCTGCCCTCTCACCGTCCGCCGTCTGGAGCAGATGCAGCGTCTGGGGCAGAAGGCCATTCTGGAAGCCGTGGATGGGGGTGGAGGCCGGCCTTTCGTGCAGCTTCCCAGGCCGCAGGATGGCTGGGCCTGCACAGCGGCCTCGGCACGCCTTGGCTTTTTCAGAAAACCAGGCTCAGACACCTGGGGTTTAGGTACATGGTGAAGTCACTTACAGGTCACATGTAATTCTTTGACATGCACATTTATTTTGCTTAAAATAAAGTTTTTAATCTCGTCTGTTTTCTGTGGTGGCAGCAGCCGTGGAAGGGGAAGAGGCTGGAGGGGCAGAGGGCCCCTCAGTGGCTCCTGGGGGAGACTTGCAGGGAAGAGATTCTGCCAGAGCCAAGGCGGTGGGTGAGCCCGGGTGGTCTTCGGACAGGCCGTGCAGGTTTCTCATGTAAACTTACAGCTCAGGGCCATCCAACAGAACTTTCCAGAGGGCGGGTACATTCTCCATCCTCGAGGTCCTTCCTGTACACCAGCCCCAAGTGGCCACCAAGCACTGGAAATGTGGCCAGTGTGCTTACAGAACTGCATTTCAAAGTTATTTTGTTTTAAGCCAGGCGTGGTGGTGGCACCTGTAGTCCCAGCTACTCGGGAAGCTGAGGCAGGAGGATCACTTGAGCCCAGGAGTTCGAGGGTGCATGATGACGCCACTGCACTCCAGCTGGGTGACAGAATGAGACCCTGTCTCTAAGAAACTTAACCCAATTAAACAATAGGTGAAGGATCTATATGGACATTTCTCCAAAGATACACAAATGGCCAACAAACACGTGAAAAGATGCTCAGCATCGTCAGCCACCAGGGAAAAGCAAACCAATGCCACAAGGAGAAACCACTTGACCCCCAGCTATAATAAAAAAGATGTACGATAATAAGCATTGGAGAGGTCGTGGAGGAACTGGACCCCCACACCTGGCTGGGGATGTAACCTGGTGCAGCTGCTGGGGGAGTCTGGGGGGCTCCTGCAAAGATTAAAAAAGTCACCACACGACGAGCAGCTCCACTTCTGGGTCTCCACTGGAGATAAAGCAAAGCACACGTCCACACACAGACCTGCACGCGAGCGTTTACAGCAGCAGGTTCACAACAGCCAAAGAGCAGAAAAACCCAAGTGTCCACCAATAAACACACATGGCCCACCACACACTGGAACATCACTCAGCCATGAAAAGGGACGAGGCTCCGACACAGGCCACAGCGTGAATGGACCTTGAGGACATCGTGCTCGGTGAGAGACGCCAGACACGGAAGGACACACAGTGTGTGACTGCATTTACATAAAATGTCCAGAACAAGCAGATCCACAGGGACGGGATGTGGATTTGTGGTCACCAGAGGCTGAGGGAGGGGCTTGGGTTTCCATGTGGAGTGACGGGAACGTCCTAGAACTAGATTTGAGGTGATGGTTGTAATACATTGTAAACATACACACGCATTGCTGGGCGTGGTGTACACACCTGTAGTCCCAGCCATTCGGGAAGCTGAGTTGGGAGGATCGCTTGAGCCCAGACTGGGCAACACGGTGACAGCGCCTCTAAAAAAATTAAAATTCAAAACATACACCAATTGCACAAGAATGAATCCCATATGATACGTGAATTACATCTCAATAAAGCTGTTATGAAAAAGAAAAGAAATACCTACAACTGCTCTGAAGTAGGGTAGGCAAGGCCTTCTGAAATCAAACACTGCGGGAGCAAAGTGGACAGTCTGATCCCAAACTTCTATGCAAGAAAAGCCGCAGGAACAGCTGCACACCAGAGAACTACCGCACACCGCCTGTGCGGGAAGAGACACAAAGACGCTCACACCTGCGCGGACCCAGGAAGGGCAGAGGAGCACTGAGGCGGGAGGCCACATGGCGGGGGGAGCTGGCATTTTGGGGCAAAACAGGGCCCCTGAGAACTGAGAGGACGACCAGGAGCCCACCAAGCCGACCTTGTGTGCTCAGGGTGAGGCCACCCACTGAAAACCTAACTCGGCCTTGGTTTTTAAAACAAACACATTTATTTACTCAAAATGTCTTTAAAGTTTGGAAACATCCAACATCCTACGGCAACTAAAAACTCCAAATGCGTTGTAATCGTGAACCCTGCTGACCTCAGAGTGCTCACGGGTGCAGCCCCGCCCCCTCCACACACACAGGCCCACGACCCGGCCCTAAGCCCCTGGTGGGCGAGTCCAAGGGGTGGGGGATCCACTCGGTGTCGGGGCCCCCTCGGGAGGGAAGACGAGGCGATGGGGGCTGAGAGCCCGAGAGGAAACGGCAGCTGGCAGGAGATGCAGACCCCGAGCCCCCGACGGAGAGTCAGTGCAGGCTGGGCAAGGACACGGGACTGCCAAGTGGCACCAGCTGCTCCCACTGTCCTCTCCGCCAGGGTCTTGTCCCTCCTGGGGTCCTAGCCCTCGAGGATCCACAGGTGAATGAGCGGCCAGGCCCTGGGAAACCTCACCGCAGGAAAGGTGAACAAGGAAAGGTAAACAAGGCAGTGGCCACCTGCCTTGCAGAGTCCAGAGGAGCAGGGGTGAGGCTTGGGGAGGACCAGATTCCCCCAGAGTGGGGCAGAGCGGGGTGGGAGGATCTGTCCTCAAGAGGATGGTGGTTGCTGTCTGTCTGTCCATCTCTGGAGCTGGGCAAGAGAGGAGAAGACTGTCACAGAAGCTGGGCAGACTCCGTCTGGACAGGGCAGTCCCACACCCATCCTGCTGAGGACAGCAAGGCAGGCTCAGAGAGGAGAAGGCACAGGCCACGGTGCAGGAAGGTGGGACACTCACTTGTGCCTAGCAGCCACACAGGCAGGGACAGTGGCCCTGACCTCAAAGGAGGCTGGACGGCAAGGCCACAAAGAGGAACCGGAGCTTCAGTGTTGGGCCTGGCCCGCGCCCCACCCCTGGGCTGCGGGAGTAATGGGGCAGCCAGCCAGGAGAGCACCCCGGGGCGTGGAAAAACCCAGGAGCACCAAGAGAGGCTCTGGCCAGGCACAGATGCTGTCTTCCTAAGTCCCAGGGCCCGGGGGGCCCACTCAGGAGGGTGGGCCTGAAAGTGGCCCTCCTCCCCTAGCCTGAGGTCTCTGGGAAGGTTTCTAAACCCTCTTCTAGAAAGCACCGCCTCTCACTGCCATCTGGATGAGGGGTTCCTACTGCTAAAGTGGACGGGAGGCTGGGGGCAGAGAGGCTGGGGGCAGGGAGGCTGGGGGCGTCAGGACCCTCGCTTCCTGGGCACAGGAGCCGAGGGAGCTGGCATGCAGGCTGGGTGGGGGCTGGGAGTGTCATGGGAGCACCTAGCGGCGCGGGGGCTGCACTGGGCCCCCAGGAATCAGAACCTCAGCTAGGCCAAGGCCTCCTGAAAGCAGACGGGGAGTGTCCCAGCACCCCCCGGCTCACCTGTTGAGCGTGGGGGCTACTGGACCAGTCGGTAGGTGATGTACCTGCCCGCCGTCTCGCTGGGCCGGATGATCTTCACCACCTGAGAAGTGGAAGAGCCACAGCTGGGGGCTGGGAAGGCTGGAGGTGGCCCCAGGTGTTTACACTCTTCCCAGGGCCCTGGTTGTAAGAGGGGGACTGGAGGTGTGGCCCGAGCACCCCTCCAGGCTGCTGGGGAGGGACAAAGCCCTCGGCCTTCAGGCTGCCAGCTCAGAGCAGCCATGGGTCCCGTTCCTGGAAGGGGCTCTCACCTGGCCGCGCTTTATCCCAAAGTATCGTGCCACGGGGTCTCCCGCCTGGATCCTGGGCAGCTGGTTCTCTCGGAGTTTACTGGGAAGCATGCTCAGGGAAAATGCCCGGCTGGGCTGTCGGGGGGCAGGGTGGTTGGTGCAGGGTTGGGGGGTGATGCTAGAAGACCAGAGGACAGGGAGGGGAGGGGGTTGCGAGGGCACCATTAAGGATACTATCGGGCCAGCAGCTCCGTCACTTCCTCCTTGGTCATGACGACGTGCTCCGGGACCAGCTGCCAAGAGAGAAACCCAGCAGCTATCACCCGGGTGGAGACAGATCCTACTGGGCTCCCTGAGTGGCCACCACAGCCCAGGAAGGCACAAGCACAGAGGCTGTCCTCCTAGGTCCCACGGCTGCGGTGGGGAGGGGCCACTCCAGAGGGTGGGCCTGCAAGTGATCCTCCTCCAGTCTGAGGTCTGGGCAGCTTTCTAAACCCTCCTCCCAAGACAGAGAAGAGGGAAATGGGGGAATGGGGTGCCGCGGATGAACCACAACTGGGTCTCCGGGGTGTCTGCAAATCTCCTGGGCTGAGCCCCACCCCCACCCTGACTGCCATGTGCTTGGCGGGTAGGACCCTGCAGTAAGGAGCCCCCTGGGCTTCTTACACAGACGCCTAGGGTCCAACCAGGGACACAGTTACCTCGATCGGGGGTTCTTCCTACCAGGTCAGATGCACTAGGCCACCTCCCCACCCCACCCCCTCCTGACTCTGCAGGCGGGAGCAGGCTTGGGAACCTATATTTCTAGCAAGTTCCCAGGTGCTGCTGCAGGCCTGGGGCCACCCTCTGACAGCCCTACTGCTCCAGCCCCCAGACTCATCTCCAGTGTCTTCCTGTCCACTCCCAGACCCCGCTTCTCCTCGGCTCCAGTGAGGACAGGGCCAGGTTTACATCCTCCACCCCTCGACACAGGCTGGGGGTGAGGGCAGGGCCAGGTTCCCCCAGACGTACCTCGTGCTCCGTGATGTTGATGAGCAGCTCCTGCTGCAGAAACTGCTCCAGGATGTACTTGGGGGCCATGTCGACCAGAGACTGGAAGAGACGAGACCCTCGCACAAGGCCAGGCAGGGCAGCTCCCCCTCCCAGGCCAGTGTCCCCAAGACAACCCCCATTCCCTTTGCTCCCCGAAGCTAACCAGGGTTTATTCTTGTGCCTCAACATGGTGTGCCACGTCACACATCAGGGAAACCCCACCTCTGTGTGGAAGGGTGCCCCCCACCCCCATCCCCTGGGCCACACCTCGGGTCTCCACAGCCTCATGAGGTTGGCTGGGGACTCGGGCTCCTTTCCACCTGTCAGACTGCTCGCACGGGTTGTCCTCACAGCTGGGGTGGTGTCCCCGTGTGTGACCACGAGAACTCTGCAGCTGGATGGGCCAGGGACAAAAAGTGCTGGCCTGTCCACCCACTCAACACTCTTCGGCTCAGTTCTGTTCAACAGACAGACATGGACAGGCCACCTGCAGACCCTGTGCCTTGGCTTCTCCCTCCACTCAGCAAAGGGGGTGGGGCACGCTGGGCCCCCGCTGCGTGATGCCTCATCCCTGTCCAGACAGGACAACTGCTCAGAGGCCAGCAGGACAAAGAGTCTCTGAGTCCCCGAGGCCACATGACCACCTTGGAAACGGCCCGACCTGGAGCCACAGAAGGCAGCAGCCAGAAGGGGAAGTGAGGCACGTGGCAGAAGTGGCCAAGGGTTGCCGTAAACACTGGCCGCTTCCTCCAGGGGACCTCAACCTGGACCCCATCACGAGGCGTGTGAGCCGCCAGCCGGACGCTCCTCTGGGCAAGGAGGCTCCTGAGGACGTGAAGCTGGCTGAGGGGAGGCGGAGGCGCACCGACCTGCTTGGCGGAGGGCGTCATGCCCTGCTGCACCACGATGAGGGCGCGGGTGATGTTCTCCTCCTGCATGCGCTGGCAGTACACCTTGATAGTCTTGATCCCCACCTTGGGCTCCTCTGGGGACAGAGTGTGTGCTGGCCTGACTGCCGGGGACCCCTCCTACCGCCCCCTCCAAGGCATCTGGATTCTAGCCCTGATTCAGCTCAGCCACTTTCCCTCAACTTCCACTTTGTGCAAAATGAGCCTGACCTGCAGGACCCCACGGCAGGGAGCTGACACTCTACAGCCACCCAGAGATCAGGAAGTGAAGCAGAGACCTCTGACTACCGGGAGACCTCTGACCTCAGGCAGGTTCTGGGGAGGCGGGTGATTAGGCATCAAACCCTACAACAAAGCTGGACTAAGAGAGACGGGGCCCTGTCTGCTGGGCCATGCAGGGGAGCAGTTGGGTACTGGGCCCCAGTGGGGAGGCCCCTGGGGTACTCTTGGTTGGAAAAAGTGCTCAAGGAAGGAAGGAGACCAAGAAAAGGAAAACTGGAAAAGATGCTGACCATCATAAGAGTCAGAGGTAAACAATATCACACACAGCAAGGAGGAGAAGGGGAGCTTTTCTCCCAGACTGGTGTAGAATCTGGGCCATGCAGCAGGTGGGTGCTACCGGGCACCTGAACAGGTGCTCAGATGACTTCACCATAATCCTGACCCCTCAGGGACACACTGCTGCCACAGACCAGCAGGGGAGGACCCCCACCTGGGAAAAAGACGAACATCTGATCAGTGGGGTCGTCGTTGTGGGCCACCAGGACGGTGAGGTCCGTGCGCCGCGGCCGCCCTTCACTGGGCTTATCCCCAAACTGGGCTTTGAACTCCTCCAGTGTCTGGTCCAGCTCGTCCTGGGTCACCAGGTAGCCACGGTCATGGCACAGCTGCAGAGAGAAAGACCTAGCTGACCCCTGGGCAGAGGGGAGGGCAGCAAGAGCCCCTGCCGAGCGCTAACCCTTTGGCCCAGAACTGGTTGCCAAAGGAAGACAGACAAGCAACAGCAACGTGGCTGAGCACTTCCTGTGTGACACTCTCTGGTCCCTACAGCCACCCCATGGGATAGGACTAGCGGGATCCGGAGAGGCTCACAGAGGTGACCAGCTTGACCATCCCGCCTCGCGGGAATCCGGCCAGGACTAAACCCAGCAGGCACATCCAGCCCTCTCAACCTCGCTCAAAGCTCCCCTAAAGACAGGCTGACAGTGTTTGGGGCCCCGAGGACGGAGAATCAGGCCTTGGGGGGGCTTCACTGAGGAAAGGGGCAGTGGCGGAGGAACGGGGGAGCCAGGGCAAAGTAAAGGCTACCCTCTTCCTCCACTGGGTCCTTTTCCAGCCCACCCAACGAGCCCCAGGTCTGAGGCAGGATCCAGAACGAAGGGCTCTCAGGCATTTGCCCCGTTTCCACCCCAGGATGCCCCTGCCAGCTGCCTCCACGTCCAGCCCCAGCTCGACTGCTGCCTCCCAGTGACAAACTCCCCCGGCCTCAGGGGATGACAGCAGGTTCGGGACGAAAAGACAAAAGGCGCAGGCGGGAAACAGAGGGGAGGAGAGTCTGCCGTGCGCCCGCGCTCAATCCTCGTCCCTCCGTGCAAGCCCTGGGCGGATCCGGCCCCGGGGCCCCGCGTCTTCGCCAGACCCTCCACTCCAGCCACTCGGGCGGGGGCAGGAGGAGACCCCTCCCGGGCCTTTCCACGCGCCGTTCGCCCCCCACGCCGCGTTCGTTCCGCTGGGCGCCCACGCGCCGCACCTGCATGATGGTTTTGCGGATCTTCCAAAGCCGGTACGTCTCCTCCTCGTCGTCCATGGCCACCGCCGCTCACACCCGCTGCGCATGCGCCCGTCAGGACCCCACGGACTGAGCACATGCCGAAGCGCGCTCAGGCTTTTATTCTGCCCCCTGCGTAGGGCTGTCGGGGGCGAACGCCTGAACGCAGAGACGTTCGCAACCGGCAGCGCCAAGGACAACCCGAGCCTTCCGAGAGCGGCGGTTGGCTGCGCGAGACCCTCGCCGCCTCCTCAGTTCTCGCGTGGCTTTGGCCGCAAAGCCTGTCAGGAGTTGCAGTTTCCGCTCAACTCCTCATGGCGGGCGGCAGTTTAGAATCCCAGGGAAGAAGAGGAGGTGTGGGCGGGGAAACAGGCCTGGACGGGGTCGGGGGCCGCTCAGTTCCTCGGGGCGGTCGAGGAGCCTAGTAGGCACGCTGATAAACATTTGTGCATCACATAGTAGGGGAGGTCTTTTAGTCGGTTCTGGGCCACCTCCAGGTTAATGCCCGCGAGCCCGTTTCCGCCTCTGTGCGATGGAGATAATAAAGTGTCCCTACTTTAGCAGGTTAACTGAGGATCTGGGGCAGAGCTGGCGTAGCTCCAGATGCCTATAACGGGCTCCGCCCTCTGTCCCCTCCCTGGCCAGGGAAGCTCCCTGACCCCAGACCATCGCATCTGTGCTGCGCTCCTCACCTTGTCCCCAGGTCCGTGAAAGAGGGCGCCCGGCCCAGTGCCTGCTGCCTTAAAGGGATGTGCAACTTCTCATTCAGTGACACATCCATCCAACTAATTAAGCATTTACTGAGCCGCCCACAGGGACAGTGAACAGAACAAGCAAGGCACCCCTTGCACGCCAGGGAGAGAGAGCATTAGAAAAACAGTGAATGAATAAACGATGGCCGGGTGCAGTGGCTCACACCAATAAATAAATGATAGCTGGGTGCAGTGACTCACGCCTGTAATCCCAGCACTTTGGGAGGCAGAGGCAGGAGGATCGCTTGAGCCCAGGAGTTGGAGGCTGCAGTGAGCTGTGATGGCAACACTGTGCCATTCCAGCCTGGGCGACAGAATAAGACCCCATCTCAAAAACAACAACAAATAAATGACAATGTTAGAAAGTGACAATGCTGTGGCAAAAGACAGCAGGCTCAGGGAGGTGGGGAGAGGAGGAAGCCAGCAGTAGCAAACGGGAGGTTGGGGAACCAGCCAAACAGATTCAACCAAAAACCTCCAGGAGAGGGAGGGAGCCTGGAGGAAGGTGTGTGGGGCAGAGGCCCTAAGGCTGGACTTGCCTGGGGTGTCGCCACACAGGTGGCCTGTGTGGGGGAGGGGTACAGTGGTAAGTCCTCCCAGTCAGGGTGGTAAGTTCGGGTTTTTTTTTTTTTTTCCAGCTATTGCAATGTTTGGAGCCGGTGTGTTGGGAACCAACTCTTGGGAACCAGGGCAAAAGCAAGAAATCAGGCAGGGGGATGGGGAAAACTCCTGGGCAGAGGTGGGGGTGGCTCTACCTAGGGCTGGGGCAAGCTGGGGCAGGTTCTGTGCGTTGTGTTCTGAAGGCAGAGTCCACAGAGTTGCTGATTTAAGGCCCGGGAAGGATGAGAAAGCAGGGAGAGTGGAGGGGAGGGGAGGAAACAAAGCTGTCCTCACCAGAAGTGGGAAGATGGGGGGTGCCAGCGGCAGATCGGGAGTGGGCTCTTGGAGGTGGTGAGTGAGGGGCTCCCAGGGGACCCCAGGGGCAGATGTGGCGGCGGTGCTGAGATAGGATTCTGGAGTTCAGGGCAAGGTCTTGGAGACGGGTGTGTGGGTGTTGTCGGCACATGAGCCCTGAGCTGGACAAGGTCCCTGGGTAGAGCAGAGTCTGGGGCCTGAGCCCAGCCTGGCCGATGTTCTGAGGGGGAGGGGAGGCTCAGCACAGACCCTGGACTGGAGGTCTAGTCTGGGCTGTGTGACCTCAAGCACATGACTCCACCTCTCTGTACCTCCCCTCCATCCCCCCCTGCCTTGTACAGGGGCAGGAACAGCACCCGCTTCATAAGGCGACTGGCTCGTCACTGCAGTGTGCTCAGAAGAGCACCTGGTGCGGGCGTTACATAACTGTTCCTTATATAGAATAAGGGGAGGGAGGTTGCCAGGTGTCCTGGAAACCAGGTGAAGAATGTGTGGGAGGCCCAGGGAGGAGCAACTGCCAAATGCCACCAGACTGCCAAGTTGGCCTGAGGATGGAGCAGGGGATTAGCCAAGCAGAAACTGCTTGTGACCAAGAAGAGATCAGACTCAGGGAAGGGGACAGAAGCCTGGCTGGGGGCTCATTTACGGGAGGAGAGGAATTGGACATGTGGCCTAGAAGCATGGGGTGTGGGTAGGGCAGAGGCCAACGCCGGAGGGGGGCAAGGCTCAGGAGTGGACTTTACAATGGGAGAAAGTGCTGGGATTGATGCAGTTATGACCCAGGAGTGCTGGAGGAATCCGGGGGTGGGAGCTGATTGAGAGAGGCTGGGCCCCAGCCAGGAGGCGGCCTGGCCTGGGTGGTCAGGCAGGAGGTGTGGGGACAGAGAGGAGGGATGGCTCTGGGGAGCCAGTGGGCCTTGGCACCCCAATGATCAGAGTCCTATTGGTGACCCTGTGGCCTCTGGGTTTCCTCACCCGCAGCCCTCAGCACCAGGACTCAGGGTGGCACCTGCTCCTCCACACCCACGCTGTACTGCCTGGCAGAGCCGAGGCCCAGAGGCCGGGGCACCGTCTACACACAGCGTGGGTGGGGATGGAAGATGGTGCAGCTGCTGCCGCGGGAAACACCCTGGCGGATCCTCAAACAGTTACACATGACGTCGCCAGATGACCCAGCAATTCTACTCCTGGGTAAACACCCAAGAGAAATGAAAACATACGCCCGCACAAAACTCCTACAGCATTGCAACCCAAAGGGTGAAAACAACACAGACATCCATTCACGGATGAGTGGACACACATGATGTGGCCCATCCACACGTGGAACATCACTTGGCCATGACAAGGGATGAGGCTCTGACACAGGCCACAGCATGGAGGGACCTTGAGGACGTCGTGCTCAGTGAGAGACGCCAGACACAGAAGGACACACAGTGTGTGACTCCGTTTGTATGAAATGTCCAGAACAGGCAGATCCACAGAGATGGGCCGTGGATTGGTGGTCGCCTGGGGCTGGGGAGGGGGTGGGGAGTGACTGCTGATGGGGAGTGACGGGGCTTCTTCTGAGATGATAAAAATGTTCTGGAATGAGATGGAGTCATGGTTGTACACCGTTGTGAATATACTAAAAATGCTACATTGTACACTTTAAAATGGTGAATTTTATATTCTGTGCATTTTATCTCAATTTCAGAAACTTTTTTAGAAAGAAGAAACCAAGCCACAGGAGAGGCCCTGTCCTCGTCCTTCCGGGAGCTGGTGGCTGCTCTGGAAAGGCACAGCTTCCTTGGCAGGGGACACGCAGGAACTTCCGCCACCACGGGGAAGCCCGGCTGAAGTTTCAGAGATTCCACCGTCCCAAGACTCCATTTCCCCATTTGTAAGACGGGATCACTCTGGGAGAAGCTGTGAAACCCCAGACACAAATCCCTCCCATAGCTCGGCCCCTGAAGCCCCCACTTCTGTCCTTATCACAACAGGCCATGACATCAGGAAGCGGGTAAACCTCTCCTTCCAGGCGAGGTGTGGGCCCTGAGCAGTTTTTCTGGCAACCTTGAAATAAACAGCTGTTTCAGTGCACATGCATACCGCAGTGTGGAAAACAACTCCAGCAAAACTGGAAGCAGCTGAGCCTGTGCAAGGGCCGCAAACAGAGTGACCAGTGTGGTGGCATCACCCGGCACTGCCAAGGCGGTGAGGAAATGGGGCTGGAAGGGCTTCCTGAGAAAGGAGGCGGCCCCGGGAGACAATGGGGGCTGCCAGCCAAGAATCCACTCGGACAACTTGGCCTCAGGACAGGCCTGAACCGGCTTGTGCAAGACCAGGGATGTGACCACTTGGCACCAGGATCCCGATTCCCTTGCCTTTGCCACCAAACTCGTCCATCTGAGACACCCCTGCTCAGCCTTGGGCCGGCCTGGGGGTGGATCTGGGGGCTCACAGGTGCCCCCCAATGAGCCCAGCCCAGCAGCCCTGCCCCAGCCGCTTCTGCTGAGACGCCACTGGACAGTCACCCAGGGGATCAGCTGGGACACCTGCCTGCCCACGGGTCACAGTCCAGCCGTGGCCTGGGGGGCTCAGCCAACTAGAGGGTCCCTGAATCAGCCCCCAAGAATGAGGGTGTGTTTCTGGCACCAAGTGCTTGAGCCCTGACTGAACAACGCAGCCAAGATGGAGCATTCTCACTCTGAAAGTGGAAGTGCACCCCCCGCGGTGGCGGAGCCTAAACTGGACCCCAGGTTTCTGCCATCTGCCAGGCGCACCACCTGTCAATCCGGGGGACCGCAGGGACCCGGCCTCCTGGGCTGCCCGTTAACTGCCCTAGTGCCCCAGGACCCACGTGTCACTCCCATGAGCGGCCACAGCGGCTCTTGTCATGGACGGGGGCAGCGGCTGGGACCCCCAGAACCCGGGGCCACGATGGTCCTCAGACGCGCGGACTTGGCCCCACTCACTTTGGTTTTATTTACATTAAAAAACCAAAACCCAATTTTCAAACAGCTACGGTGGCTCTTCAAGGAGTTCTAGCCCCCCTAACCCCGACGTCTTCTCCCGTTGTCCGTCATCCCGCCCGGCTGCGATCAACCACCCGGATGACTGCCTGCAGCCTCGGAACGGGCCGCCTGCGTGGACTCGGCCTCCCGCCCGCCGGCGAGCATGCGCAGTAACCGACAACAATAAGCCCCGCGCCTCAATCCGGCCCCGCCCCCGGCCCCCGCCTGCCCTCCATCCCGGGCTCCCATTGGCTGAAGTCGGCGCGAGTCCGCGGAAGACCAATGGGAGCGTTGGTGGGCGTGGCCGAAGGCGGGGAGGCACGGCGAGCCGGTGCGTGTCCATTGGTCGGCTCGGCGAGGGGAGGAGCCGCTGGTTCCCACAGGCCCCGCCGCCGCGATGAGCTTCAGCCGCCTGTATCGCCTGCTGAAGCCGGCGCTGCTGTGCGGGGCCCTGGCCGCACCCGGCCTGGCCGGCACCATGGTGAGCGAGCGCTGCGCCCCGGGCCGGGCCGGGGCCGTTGAGCCTGGCGCGCGACCCCTTCCCCGCCCGGAGGCGCGCGGAGCCTTCGGGCCGCGGTGACCTTGGGCTGGGGGCGTCCGGCCGCATCTCCCCCACCCCGACCCGCCCCGGCCAGCGCAGAGGCGGTGACCGCGCTCGGGGCGGTGCCGGGGCGCGGGCGGGGGCAATGTCCAGGTGGTCGGGGCTCAGGGCCCGGGCGGGGCTAATGTTCAGGGGGCTGGGGTCGGGGCCCCGGCCGGGGGCAGAGTCCGGGCGGCGGGGGTCGGGGCTAGGTGTCCGGGCCGGCGGGGGCAGGGCACTGGGACGTTGGGGGCCACGGCTGGGTGTCCCCGGGCCGAACAGGGGCTACTGCGCCGGGACAGCAGGGTGGGCGCCCTAGCTGGGCCGGGTGAGCGGGGGAGCACGATGGGCTGGAAACCTGGGGTCACGCGCCCCGGGCGGCGCTGCCCCGCCCCCGCCCCCGGGGCCCAAGGAGGTGGCGTCACAGTTGCGCGGCCCCGGCTCCCTGACTACGGGCCTTTTGTCCTCGAGTGCGGCCTCCGTGGGCCCAGGCGAGGCGAAGAGGGGCGGGCATGGGCCGCGCGGGCGCGGGCTCCCCGGGGCGCCGCAGGCAACAGCCCCACAGCCCGGGCGGCCGGCAGCGCCGAGCCCCTCGGCGGCGGAAGGCCCCGGCGTGCCTGCGCAAGAGAGCGCGCCGCCGGCGGAAGGAGCCCTGTCCCCGTAGCCCTGGGCGGGCCGTCTCCACTGCTGAGTGCCAGGACCCGGTGCGCGCGGGGCCCCTACACCCGCTATAGCACCTCGCAGGGTCCCGAGTTCTCCCCTGCCTCAAGGTCTCCGGTAAAATGGGCCCAGAGGCGCCGGGGGGCGTGCACAGAGCAGTCCCCTTTTATGAGCCCCAGGGCCTCGGCTTCCTTGGCGCTGACCCGTCTGGGATCACTTCCTCCCCTGGGGACCCCGGGCTGGCGAGTGGGCCCGGTGGCCGCGGGCTCCCGCCCTGAGCTCCACCGCTGGGCCCTTCCTTGCCTTGCAGTGCGCCTCCCGCGACGACTGGCGCTGTGCGCGCTCCATGCACGAATTTTCAGCCAAGGACATCGACGGAAACACGGTTTGCCTGGACAAGTACCGGTGGGTTCCCGCCCAGTCGGGGGATGTGCAGGGTTGGGGCTGGGAAAGGACTAACCCTAACCCTGACCTCGGCTGACCGCCGGACCTCCTGCAGGGGCTTCGTGTGCATCGTCACCAACGTGGCCTCGCAATGAGGCAAAACCGACGTAAACTATACTCAGCTCGTCGATCTGCACGCCCGATACGCTGAGTGTGGTTTACGGATCCTGGCCTTCCCCTGCAACCAGTTCGGTAGGCAGGTGCGTGGTCTCCGCAAAGCCAGGGCGGTTTGGAGGAGCGGACGGGGGCAGGGAAGAGAGGGTCTCTGAGCGAGTGTCCAGGCCCCTCCCCACTCACGTACACACCTGTGGGCGCCTCAGGAGCCAGGAACTAACGCAGAGATCAAAGAGTTCGCCGCCGGCTATAACGTCAAATTCGATATGTACAGCAAGATCTGTGTGAACGGGGATGACGCCCACCCGCTGTGGAAGTGGATGAAAATCCAGCCCAAGGGCAGGGGCATCCTGGGAAAGTGAGTGACCCTCCTGGGGTGGGGGTGTGAGGGGCAGCTTTTGGGGATTCCTGACAACTCTGTGGTTTTTTTTGTAGTGCCATCAAGTGGAACTTCACCAAGGTATCGGGGGCTGTGTTTGGGGGTGGGGGAGAGAAGGGGCCAGGGCTATGAGCAGGCCAGCTCCAGAATGGGTCTCAGGGTGCTACCGGCCGCCCCCCGCCAGGGGCAGCAGGCAGGGAGGGCAGCCCTAGCCCCTTGCTGGGGTCTCCCCCACCCCAGCGAACCAACGCTGTCCCTCCTGCAGTTCCTCATCGATAAGAACGGCTGCGTGGTGAAGCGGTACGGTCCCATGGAGGAGCCCCTGGTAGGTGCCTCTTTGGGGAGCCCGCCAGGGTGGGGGGTGCAGGGAGAGGCTGCCCCTAACCCACCCCTTCCCCACAGGTGATAGAGAAGGACCTGCCCTGCTATCTCTAGCTCCACAAGCGTGTGCCCCTGCCTGAGCCCCTTGCCTGCGCCCCCGGAACCTTCCACCTGGCACCCATGACGGTCTGCCTGTAAACCTGCCGCGGGTGGGGCAGACCCGAGAACCCGGCGTGCATCCGCTGGAGGAAGGTCCCGCAGCCGCGCTGGGCTCAAGCTCAGTGCCCCTCCCTTGGCTGCCTTGTGGGAATAAAACAAAGAAATGGGCCTACTGGGTCATCCTGTCTGGGGGCAGCCCTTTTGCCCCAGGTCTCGCTGGTGCAGGGAGGGATGGGGTGGAGTTCCCCTGGGGGTTCAGAGGGCTGCACCTGGCCCTAGAGCTAATCTTCACTGTCTGGGCTGGGGCTAAGGCTCCTAATCCCCACAGCCCCACCTTCTTGGGCCAGGGCTGATTCCTAGAGGAGATAATTCTCCAGTGGCTGCTCTTCCTGGCCCAGGGTGGTACCTCCTTAGGAGGCAGCAGCTAGTGCTATTCGGGGCTCACAGGGCCTCTGTCCTACCCAGGGGTGGAAACAGATTGAGGGAGGCTGCTCCACGGCCTGGCTTGGTGGTGTGGACAAGGTTAGGCCCAGAGTGTGGACTGTGGGCGCAAAGCAGGCTGGGGGGTGGCTGTCTCCAGAGTCCCTCCTAGGAGGGCACAAGCTCCCTGCGTGCAGCAGGAAGGAGCCAACAAGCCTGCCAAGGGGGTGTGCGTCTATAGAGTTGGTCCCAGAGTGCCACCACGAGGGTCCTAGGCCCTGGCACGGACAGTCCATAGATGGCTACCCAGACACTGGGGCAGGGTGGGGTCTGTGTCCCCCAGCCTGGAGCCCCCACCTCATCCCCACAGGGCCTGGTGGGGGAGACAATGAGCGCTTGTAACAAGGGAACCTGTAGGGGGAGCTCCACAGGCTTCGGTCCCCACTCTTCGGCTGCTCCCCGAAGCGGGCCAGAGAAGCAGACAATGTGGGAAGTAGGCAAAAGGCACGTATATTTAAAAAAGATCTCTTTACATATATACATTAGAATTCATTATAAATACATGTAGAAACCAAAGGGCTGCCCACCCCGCCAGCTCCTCGGGCAGATTCCGGAGACCTGGAGAGGTGGACAGGCAATAATTTAGGGAGCAGAGAGATGGGGTGGGGGAGGAAGAATTGCATATATTAATGGGGGTCTGCCCCACAGAGGCCCCCAGAAGGCGGGGCCCTGAGCACCTGGGGTTTCCTGAGTTTCTAGCTCTTGGGACCACCCAGTTATGGATTTCAGAGGCTGGGGCCTGACCATCCCTTGTAGGTAGGTGGGTGGGGTAGAGCTGGGGCCCAGAGCCCCTTGCCCATTCCTGGGGGGCAGAAGGGAGAGGCACAGAGAGGGCCCGGCCCCCAGCCCCTGCCTTGGGCCCCTGGCCCCCTAGGCATCCTGAGTGGGGCCAGCACACAGCAGCGGCCCCCAGGCAGGGCGTGAGGGCCCAGGGCCGGCAGCATCCATGTGCCGGCTCCACCAGACCTTCCAGGGCCGGCCCGGTCTGGGTGTGGAAGGCACTGCAGCGAGGCCGCAGGCTCTGCTGGCCGCGGTAGTAGAGAACTGTCCCTGGGAGATGGGCACGTTACAGATAAATAAAGATAGGTGTGGAGAGGAACCCAGCCTAGGAACCTGGGAAGGGCGGGCTGAACTGAATGACGCTCCTCCGTTCCAGGCCCCCAGCCCCCGCTGCACCCACACCATCCCCCAGCGGGCCCGGCGCCTCTGCCGCCGGCCCCGCATGCAGGGAGCGCAGCATGTCCTCCAGCACCTCCTTGAAGTTGATGTCGCAGCCCTGGTGCGCCAGGGTTGCTGGGTCGGCAGGGCCGTCAGGGGCGCCCAGCAACAGCCCAGGGCTGGGGTCCAGGGGCAGCGGCGGGGGGAAGGCGAAGTGCGGGGGAGGCGGGAAGGCCTCGGCAGGCGGGCTGTAGGTGAGGTCCAGGACTTCGCCGGGCCCACAGGGCAGCGCCAGCGGGCGCAGGTTGGGTGGTGCAGGGAAGCCCTGGCCCCGCGCCTTGCGCTTGACGTCAGCGTCCATCAACTGCAGCTCCTGCAGCACGCGGCGCACGCAGCCCTCTGGGATCTTGATGCCTGGGGGCGGGGACAGAGGGCCGACGTGGGGTCAGGGGTCAGGGCTGTCCCTGGTGCCTGGCGCACGCCCCCTCTGCCACCCACTCACCCACTTGTTTCTTCTTGTCCTTGGTCTTGAGACGCACGATCTGCAGGTAGCTGCTGCTGCTGACGTCAGCCATGACGGCGGCGATGCGGCCCCACACGTGCAGCAGCGCCCCGCATAGCATGTAGTGGTGCCGCAGCCGCAGGCCCTGCACGCAGTCCTTGCCCTCCTGCACCAGTCGGCAGTGCCGGTTCCTGCGCCGGCCGGATGGGTGGCTCAGAGGGGTCCTGAGGCCCCTGCTCCCCCATGTACCCCAGCACCCAGGTGCCTTCCTCCCAGGGTGCCCCAGATGCCGTCGGGCCCTCACCACGCGGTGTGGCTGCAGTGCGTGAGCGAGAAGACGTAGTTACTCTCCCAATGCTCCTTGGCAGCCTCCGCAGTGACCTGGGGACACAGGGCCCCATGAGGCTCAGCAGGCCAACCACTGCCTGCAGCGGCCGTCTGGCCAGACAGTGCACAACTGGGAAACTGGCGAGCTGGGCTCTGTGGCCCCACGGGGAGGGGATGGCTGGAGGCCCAGAGCTCAGGGCCACTGTCCCCGGAGGTCTGCCCTGCCCGGCCGTCCCTGCCCCTACCCGGTGGAACTTGCGGCACAGGCTGTCCAAGGTCTCCAGCTGGCTCTGCCGGCCAATGTTGGGCTTGTACACGGTGAAGTGCTTGCCGCGGTTCTGCTCGGCCAAGAGGCAGCTGGGCTTATTGCCGCGAACCTGGGGAGGGGGCCAGGTGAGGTCAGTCGCCCCTGGGGTCTCCCCAACTTGCTGGCTCCCCCCCACAAGTGGAGACCACAGGGGTAGCATGGCAGGACTGACACCCTCACCATGCCTCTGGCCCTGCCCAGAGTGCAGGGGCCTGGGCACCGTGGGGTCACAGACAGCCACCCACCTTGTACGAGAGGTAGAAGCCGTCATAGGGGCCTGTCAGCTCCAGTGACTTGGTGAATGCCTCCTCCCACTTCAGGCCTCTGTCCACGCTGATCTGCCACAGCACGTCAGGGCATTAGCGCCTCGGGCCCTGGGGGGAGGGGGCTGGGGGGAGGGGCTTGCCACTCACCTTGTAAAAGACCACCTGCCCGTCCTGCGGGTGCCCAGGGGCCAGGAACACCTGCTGGCTCTCCTCGTAGATCTCGTCAATGCCAGGAGCCAGGTCTGGGGGCGGTGGGGGCAATGGTGAGTGGAGTGGGAGCCTGGTGAGCTGGGGCACGGCAGGAGCTCCTCCCTCCCTGGGTGTGTGGGAGGTACTTGTGGATGGGGCGTGGCCAGCCTGGGTATGGCTTGGTATGTTCCAGGTTCTGGGCTTGCGGGGGCCATCTCAATTTAGTGGGCTGGAGTGCTGGGGTGCACCCCAGAAGTGACCCCCAGGGCAGCTGCTCCAGTCACAAAAGAGCCTGCCCCTGCGCCAGCCACCCAGCCTCGGCTGCTTCTTTGGTGCTTCCCCCGCCCACCGGTGGCCGCGCGGGCTCACCCAAAATGCCCATGTCGTATTTGCCCTCCTTCTTGTCTGCCTCGATGAGGTGGTCGAAGGTGTCGGAGAAGTACTGGAACAGCGCGTTCTGCTTGTGCACCTCCAGCCCCAGGATGCGGTTCAGGAACTTGGTGATGGAGCAGTCTGGGGGGAGGGGACATCACGTCAGGCCACGCCAGGAGTCCCCAGCCCACCCCGAATGGTCACACCAGCCGGAGGTGCCTCTGTGCCTCGGCATGAGGGGGACTCACCCTTCTCCACGTCCAGGCAGCCTGACCGGGACTCCCGCCCACCGATGCCGACCGACAGCAGGCCCTGCTTCATGTCTGCGGGAAGGGGGACCTCACATGCAGTCCTGCCCTCAGCCCTCCCTTCCAGCCCCTGGCTCTGCCCCAGGGTGTGGAACCTCCACTGGGGACTCCGGAGGGGACCGTGATGCTTGAACCCCAGGCTAGTGGCTTCTGGGGGTGGGGTGGAGGCGTTAACAGCCTGCGGCCCAGACAGTGAACTGAGCCTCCTTTCCCTCCTTCCCTGTGACTTACAGGAGTAAGATAACAGCACTACCATCTTGGGAGCAAACCTAGACCCCCTGCCCCTCAGCTCCCCCAGACACCCACTGGGCTGCTGGGGGTACCACACTGACTCCCTTTGCCCCTTCCATGAGTGTGTGGGGAGGGGTCTCTCAAAACAAAACCAGCCTGTAAAGCCCAGCCCCCCAAACTGCTCTGCAAACTGCTGCCCCACTCCCAAGACTTCCACAACCCCACCCCTCCCAGGAAGACTCCAACCAGCCCCAACTCACCCCCTAACTCACCCCGGAAGAAGGCGGCGACTCCCCCCGGGTATCCCCGGGGCAGGGGCACCTTGTTCTCCGTCTGGCTCAGGATGGTGGTGAGGACGCAGTGGAGAGCCCGGATGCCGTACTGGGGGACACGGGGTCATGAGTGGGGGGCAGTGGCCCAAATCCGAGACCAGCCTACCCCGGGACCCCTGCCCCTGCCCCATACCTTGTTCTCAAAATTGTACTTGCTCAAGTCGCGAGACTCAGTGGCCCGTCGGTCTCCATGGGTCAGGGCACCCTGCGGGGTGGGGGAGGTCGTTGGCACGTTGCCAGGTTTTGGGGCTTCCCAGGGATTAAGGGGCCTTTTTGGTCCGCCCCACCCGCCTGCCCGCTAACCAGGCTCTCAAGGCGCTTGGCCACGATGGAGGCAAACCGGCGCTCCCCGGCCAGCTCGGAGATGAGGAAGATATACTCGGGCGCGGAGACCTGGTTGGAGCGGTGGGTGCGACCTGGAGGGAGAAGGGGTCTCTCAGGGCCCGCCGCGGGGATGGGACTGATGGGACGGGGCCGGCCTGGAGTGAGGCTGGTGGGGTGGCCTCACCGAACTGCTGAATGGCCCGGTCTGCGCTCCAGGGCAGCTCCAGCGTTATGTGCACGCGGCGCCGCTGGTTCTGGACGCGGCGGTCGGCTTGGAGGGAGACGCCCGAGCTGGAGGCCTCCGAGATGATGGCCACGAGCTGGGGGGACGGGAGCAGGCGGGGACAGGGTTGGTTTGCAGGCCCTGGGCTGCCCCACGTCACCCGCCCAGCCCCCAGCTCTGGGTCACCAGGGGCGACAAGGGAGGCCAGAGAGGCTTGCACACACTTGCACACGCGCACACTCGCTGAGGGCTGGGATGCCCGCAGTCCACGGGTGCCTCTGGGGCCCTCTGCGACTCCTCCCAACCCGCACAGCGGGGCTTCGATGCCCCAGTCCCCGCACCTTCTCGCCGCTCATGAAGCGCTGCTTCTCTCTGAGGTTCACGTGGTCGATGGACAGGCCCTGCTCCGCCCGTGACTCGAAAGCCACCGTCCCGTCTGGCCTGGAAACGATGCGGCCCTTCCTGCCGGTCATCTGTGGCAGCAGCCAGGAGCGAAGGGACAGGCCGTCAGCAGCATGGGACAGGGGCCTGGGCACCCTGTGGCTCAGACTCCCCCGTCTCCCCACCGCCGATCCTGGAGCTCCCACATGTGTGGCCAGGACGCAGCCTCTGACTTGGTGCTGGACGGCACCAAGTGCCCCCCGTGCGCGGGGAACTGCACGAGGGCTAACGTCTGATTTTCATTATCAGCCACCTGGTGCCCAAGTGGGTCTGAGGCAGCGCCAGGAAGACCCCCAGGGGGAAGACCCAGTGAACGAGGATGAGAAGCGGGCCGGGGAGGACGCCTAGAGTCTTGGCCCTGGGCACCTCAGCGACAGGTCCGGGCGAATCTGGGGGCTCGGCGGGGCTGGGAGACGGACGCCCACCACGGGCAGCCCCAGCCTCTTGGGCCAAGCTGAACACGGGACGCAGCTGCTGGGGCCCTGCTTCCCTCCTTAGAGGGGATGGGGGGAGCAGTGACGCCGCGTGACCAGCAGGGGCCGCCAGAGCCGCCCGCGACCAGGTGAGGCCCCGCCCACCCCATACTAACCTCTGGCCCCGCCCAATCCATCTATACACTCCCGGTCCCGCCCACTGCCCACCCCGCCCCTCACCTCGGCCACCTGCGCGGGGCCACCCAAGCCGTCAATGAGCTTGTCCAGAGTGTTGTGCGGCAGATCCCGGCCCAGTAGCCGCACCTTGGCCAGCAGGTCCTGCTTCAGCCGATCAACCCGCTCCAGGACACCTGGGCCGTGCGGGTCCCTCTGCGACAGGCACAGGGGCCCTGGGGGACACAGAGAGTTGTCAGGGCGGGAGGGTCCCGTAAAAATTAGCTCCCCCGAGGGAGTGCGGAGTGCATGGGACCCCCTGAGACCAGCTGGGGGTGAGACTGAGCCTCCTCCTTGGGTCGGGTCAGGGTGGGACTGCCAGGCTCTGCCTCTGGCCAGCGGTGAAGCCCTGACCTCCCCTCTCTGGGCCTGACTCCACATCTGTACAGTGCGCATGACAGCAGCGGCTACCTCTCAGGTGGGCAAAGCACTGAGGTCGGGCCTGGCTGCATGAGGGTGTCCACTTGGGCTAGCGTCAGTCGCCTGGAGGCAGGGGATGGCCACCAGCAGTGGTGAGGGCTGGACCCTGACCCGCCAGATGCTGCCTGACCTGGGCTGAGCCCGCACCTCGGTCGTCCGTGGGGAGCCCGATGGTGTCCACGATGACAACATCATCGTCCACCAGGGACTCTGGGGAAGAGTTGAAGTCGCTGTCCAGGCCAGCGTCCGACTCAGTGCTGCTGTCATCGCTGATGCGGATCACGCCTGCTGCCTCGCATGCCAGCCTGGAGGCCTTGGTCCCGCGTCCCCGAGGCCGCCCTGCAGGAGGAGCTGGGGTCACCGCGGGCCAGTGTGCGCTGGGGCGCAGGAGCAGGTGGAGCAGGCCACGCCCAGGCAGCTGGGCAGAGAGAAGCCAGCGGGTCCTAGCAGGGGAGGCGGCTGTACTCCCTAACGGGAAAGGGGCATTCTGGGGAGACCCCATCCATGTGCCACTGCCCATCTGGCACAAATGCCATTGTGGTGGATGTCTCTGTGCAGGCGGCTTTCTGCTGTTCCCCTGGGTCTTCCTCTGTTAAACTGACCCAAGAGGCAGTTTAACAAACCCATGTCCCACGTCCTTCCATGCCGGGATTGGGCTGTTTTTACTTGGTGGCCCCTAGGGAGGCCATGCCAGACCTCATGAGGCAGCTCTGAGGCATCACTGGGGATACTGATGTCGCCGGAGGGCGTGCCCAGGGCCCCCTAGATGGGACAGTGGTCTAGGGACCATATGTGACACTGCCACCATACAGGCAGCCCTGGCAATGGAAAGGAGACAGTAGGAGTGGGTGATTGGGGCCAGAGCTGGACAGCCCTAAGCAGGACCTAGCTGTGCCCTCTTAAACCTGTCTGTGTTACCCTGAGTGAGTTACTTGGCCTCTCTGAGACTCACCCACCTGCAGCACCAGGGGCAATTTCGGGAGAAAGGCTTCCGGGCCCTGGCGGGGGCAGGGGTGTGTGGGGGGCAGTGAGGCCTGGAAGTGGCCACCAACTTAGGCTTTTCCCTCGGGATCCTGTGCCTGTCCTCCCCCAGATGCCCAGCCTGGCAGGCTGTCCTGGTTTCCTCTTCCCTGAGGGCTCTTGGGCAGGGAGGGGACTCTGGGAGACAGGAATGGGGCTGGCCTTGCCTACTGGGGCCCCCTGGAGACCCCCTAACTGGCAGTGGAGCCAGGAGCCTGTCTGGCAAGGTCAGACCTGAGCAGGGACAGAATCCCAGAGTGGCTGTGGAGCGGGGGTGGCAGGGAGTGACCAGCCCACCAGCCTGGCGGTGCTGCGAAAGCGGAGGTGCAGGGTGGCGGGGTGGGCGGGGGCGCTTACGTTTTCGCTTACTGCCCACTCCTCTGTCCCGCTTCCTTTTGGTTGAGGGAAAGTGCTTCTGAATTAGTGACAGAAAGACGCCTCTGAAAGTGAGAAGTGGAGTTTATTCTCCTACGGGGACAGCCGGGCCTCGGCCGGGAGGCCATGTGCAGGTTTGCTCGGTGGGGCGTGGGGGTTTGCAGCCCCTAGGGCCCGGCTGGGGGTCCAGTGCTGGGCCTGGGTGCAGGGTCCTGTGTCAGGGCTCGGAGAGGCAGGCGGGGTGCAGGAGCCTGGCTGACTGCCTCCGAGGGAAGGGGGCTCCCGGGACTGTGTGGGGTGCGGTGAGGGAGAAGCTGGGCTTCCCAGTGGAGCGATGCTGGGCACTGGGGCAGCCCCGGGCACTGAGCAGGACCTAGGAGGGACCCTCCTGAGGCGAGCTGGGGCGTATTCAACCCCAGAAGGGGCCAGGGCATCAGGGAGCCAGGAGGATAGCCCCTGAAACTCGGGGGTCCTTGTTCAAACGGCTCAGGCGCCCTGAAGCCTCCTGTGAGATCCTGGGAGACCCCCTGCCGGCACGTGCCATGCCTGTGAGGGCTGAGGCTGGCACTGGAGCAAAGCCCACTGGGCTCCCCCACCCAACCCTGCAGGGGCGGAGGCCAGGGCCTGGCTAGAGGGCGGCCCTGGGCGCAGACACAGTCCTCCCCAGACACTCACTCGGCGGCTGAGACGAAACAGTCCAAGTGCCCATCGTTCTCCCCTAGCACCTCTCGGGTCCGCGCCTCGCCTGTGGACTGCAGCCCGATGACCACACACTGTGGGATGGGAGGGGGGCTCTGAGCCACTGCCCTGCAGTAGCGGCTGCCCATGGGCCTAGAAGCTTCTGGGCCTTAGGTGACCACTGTACCCAACACCCTGTGCCACATACTCACTCTTGTCCCCCAGAAGGGGCCACTGGCCTACCCAGACACAGGGACAGGGTGGGGGGATTGACCAATTCCTGCCCCTGGGCGGTCAGCCCGCCCACATTCCCTGTGGCCACTGCCCGGGCTCTGGCATTCCCGACACTCTGGCCAAGGGTAGGCTTGGATTGTAAGGCAGACACCAGGGCCTGGATCCCACCACCACCCCGGGGATGCCAGGGACCTGGGTGCAGCCCCCGCCACCCTCAGCTCGCAAAGGCCCCACCCACTCACCTTGTTTTGAGCCAGCTCCTGTTGGGCCAGCTCCACCAGCCGGCCCACTTTGGCGGCAATACACAGGTACTTGAAGAAGCGCTGGTGGGCCGACCAGAACTGGCCCCACAGGGACTTGCGTGACTCCAGGCCAATCCAGTCAGCTGCCTGCTGGAACATGCCCAGGGCCTCGGCCCACTGCAACAACACACTCGTCTGAGCCCACTGCGCCAGCTCCCTGCCTGGGGCCCAGGCCCACCTGCCACCAGTCCCGGGCATAGGACTCCCATGCCTGGCGGAATTGGGGGCTGGGGGGACGGGGAGGAGGCATTGCCTATACCTGTACAGCAAAAAGGCTAAAAAACCAAAACATGTAATGCTGGTAAAAACGTTAAAAAACTAAAACATGGGCTGGGCGGGGTGGCTCACGCCTGTAATCCTAGCTTTCTGGGAGGCCGAGGCGGGCGGATTGTTTGAGCTCAGGAGTTCGAAACCAGCCTGAGCAAGAGCGAGACCCCGTCTCTAGTAAAAATAGAAAGAAATTAATCGGACAACTAAAAATATATAGAAAAAATTAGCCGGGCATGGTGGTACATGCCTGCAGTCCCAGCTACTCGGGAGGCTGAGACAGGAGGATCGCTTGAGCCCAGGAGTTTGAGGTTGCTGTGAGCTAGGCTGACGCCACGGCACTCTAGCCCGGGGAACACAGTGAGACTCTGTCTCAAAAAAAAAAAACCAAAAACTAAAACATGTAGTGCTGGCCAAGCTGTGGTGGAAGCGGCACAGATGCACACAGCACGGGCAGGACGGGGCACAGCTCTTCCAGAAAAAGATGGGACCTTTGCAGCGTTTGCCTTCTGTGAGCAGTCGCTCCAGAAAATGTCTGGGGACATCTGTGGTTGTCACACTGTGGGGAGCTCCTGGCATGGGGTGGGTGGAGGCCAGGGACGCTGCTCAGCACGGCCCTCCCCAGAGGATAATCCGGCCCTAGTGTCCACATGCTGGGGGAGACCCCGGTTGTCCAACCTAAAGAACATCTAATGCACAGGCTGGTGCTGTCCGGTATGAGGATGAGAAAACAGGGACCCTCCAAATGCGGAGAAACAGCCAGGCCACACAGTACTGTCTACCCTGAAAGCATCCATAGCCCAGGCCGTGGTCTGGAGGCAACATGCTTGGGAATCATGGGAAGGGAAGGTGGGGGTCCAGACCACGTAATCACAGTCACGTGAAAACCCTGGCTTGGAACAGAATCAAGATGCTGGGTGCCCACCCGAGGCCATGGCAAGCTGGGGTTCTGTCACCTGACAAACGCCTGTGGCGTCTTTAAGGACAAAACACTGCAAGGCCACAGGGCATAAATCTGAGCATGAGAGAGACATGGGGTCAGAGGCCCTGACTGCCTGGGCCCACAGGGATGCCCGGCTCACCAGCAGGGCTGCACGGTTGTAGACGCGCTCGAAGTCTGGGTGCAGTGGGATCTCCTCGATGCGGAAGGTAACGCCAGAGAAGCTGAGCTGGCGCGCGATGTACATGCCGCTGACTTTCATGTCCATGGCCACAATTTCCATGGCACCCACACCCCTGTGGATGGACACAGGCTGCCTGAGCACCCACCAGGTCGCACCAGGCACTGGGTCCCACTGACAGATGGAGTGACTCCAGGGAGGGGCTGACACTGGAGGGTGAGGAGGAGCCAGGTGCAGAGAGGGCAGAGACGGCATGTGCAAAGGCCCTGTGGCCACAGATCCCAGCCGGGCCTGGCAGGGCAGGAAAGGCTGCAGAGAGCCATGGGACTCAGGGGGAGGCGCTGGTTCACCTGAGAGGGACAGGAAGCATTGAGAGGAGGAAGACATGACTTGTTTCAATACCCTTCAGGGTGCAGATGGAGGGGACACACACCTGCACCGGGCCAGACCCTGGGTGGCAAAGGGCGCTCACCTCTTCTCGATGGCGTGCAGGAAGTCCTCAAAGGTCCGGAAGGGCGTGCCCTCACCCCAGATGCCCAGGCGGCTCATGTAGATCATGTTCCGGGGCTCAGAGGCACCTGGGTGTGGGTGTGGAAGCAGCAGTCAGCAGTCAGCTTGGGATGACCTGAGGGCCAGGTAAGGGGCCTGATGCTCCCAGGCCAAGTACCGCTGGCCTAGGGGGAGCCAGCTAACTTTGGACCACACCAAGATGTGCCCCAGCCCCCAAGAGGAAGCAGGGTATGGATAGAAGGCCCTGCACTGCACGCAGGATGTGCACCAAGGTGGACACCGATAACGGATGGCCCAGGTACGACTGGGCAGCCCGCCTGGGCTCCGCCCCACGGTCTCCCACCTGTGGCACTGGCGTAGACCACCCGGGCCAGGGGCAGCTTGTTCTGCAGGTCCAGCACGGCCTTGCCCATCTTGGTGGAGCTGGCGTTCTTGGCTTTGTGGCACTCGTCAAAAATGATCTGGGGTGGGCATGGGTTAAGGATTGTTCCGGAAGGACAGTGGGTAACCCCAGGGGCCCAGGCTCTGACCATGGGGAACCCCATCTTCCTGGTTGGGGGCAAATGCCCTTCAGTGATGGAAACTCTGTGAGTCATGGCTGGAGGGTATCTGGCATGGGACGGCTCCATGCAGACTGCAGAGGCCTGTGGACACCCACACGCGTGCCAGCGGGCCCCTGGCGAGGTGGGGGTGGGCTGTCTCCGCGACCTCGACAGCGCTTGACTGTCCTAGGGCCTGTGGATGTTGCCATGGGGGGCAGATGGGGGAAGGGTACCTGGGATCTCTGTTTCATTTCATATTCTACATGTGAATCTGCAGTAATCCCTTATTAAAAAGTGATACTGACGAAAAAATTCTTAGTATTAATTTTTTTGAGAGACAAGGTCTCGCTCTGTCACCCAGGCTGGAGTGCTGGCATCATCACAGCTCACTGCAGCTTCCAACTCTTGGGCTCCAGTGATCCTCCCACCTCAGCCTCCCAAAGTGCTGGGAGGCGTGAGCCACTGCGCCCGGCCCTCTCCTTAGGATTTTGAGGAGGAAGAAAGCAAGTTTCAGGAAAGCGCACACAGGCAAAGGATCAACAGAGAAAAGCGCAGAATATAAGTTAAACACCTGGATTTACCACCAGGCACACAGCTCATCGAGACCTCGACAGAGCGAGACCTTGTCCTTTGTTTGTTCTCTCATACATACATACATAAAATTTTTTTTTTTTTTTGAGACAGAGTCTCACTCTTTTTGCCCAGGCTAGAGTGAGTGCCGTGGCGTCATCCTAGCTCACAGCAACCTCACGCTCCTGGGCTCAAGCGATCCTTCTGCCTCAGCCTCCCGAGTAGCTGGGACTGCAGGCATGTACCACCATGCCCGGCTAATTTTTTCTATATATTTTTAGTTGTCCGATTAATTTCTTTCTATTTTTAGTAGAGGCGGGGTCTCGCTCTTGCTCAGGCTGGTTTCGAGCTCCTGAGCTCAAACAATCTGCCTGCCTCGGCCTCCCACAGTGCTAGGATTACAGGCGTGAGCCACCGCGCCTGGCCTCATACATAAAATTTTAAGAGAGAAGGAGATCAAGGTAGAAAAAGTTCTCTGAACTGGGAGTTTCCTGCCACAGTGGGGAGACCCTGGGGACCTGTGTCCCTGACACCCTGACACTCCTGGGTGGATCCCTGAATCCCCAGGGTCCTCTAGCCAGAATCTGGCAGGGTTTGGGGGGCCGCTCAAGAATGGCCCCCTGCCCTCTGCCCACCACATCCTGGCCCTCCCCCTGCCACACCCCACACCTGGCCACGCCCGGCAGGATACGACGCCCTCAAAGCCCTCCCCACACCAGTCGAGGATCTGCCGGAGGCGCGTGCGGTGCTGCCCGCCTGCCTGGCTCTCCCCGATCAGCGCAGAGTAGGTGGCGAAGAGGACGCCCTCTGAGGTAGTGTTGTCGCCGTATTTGATCTGGGGACACAGGGGGCAGTTGTGGGGATTTGGGGACAGCTTTCGGGGACTCTAGCTAAGCCCTGGCCCTCCCAGGGGCTCAGTTTCCTCATTTGGTCCCCATATGCCCACGGGGTCTTCTGGCCCAGCCCCACGGGCTGCCCACCTTGCTGAGCGCGTGCACCGGGATGCTGGGGGCCTCGATGTCCCGCAGGTCACGCTCTGCGTCGTACTTGAGGTCGTTGGAGACACTGAACCTGGGGGTCCAAGACGTCAGGCAAAACCTCCCCTGCCCCGCACCGCTCCCCCAGGGCAGGGTGCTCACTCACCACAGGGCCTTCTTCCTGCCGCGCAGGTAGTTCTCCAGGATGACGCCGGCCACTGTGCGGCCCTTGCCCACGCCTGCCCCGTCGCCGATGAGGAAGCCCGCCCGCTGCCCACTGGGGAGCAGGACCTCATGTTGCTGCCAGGAGAGCGGAGGGCGGTGGTCAGGGCCTGGGGGTGCTGCCCAGCCCTGTGCCCCGCCCCAGGGGCCTCCAGGGGAGGGGTGGGGTGGGGCAGTCACCTGGCAGGCGTAGGTGATGGCCTCCAGCTGCAGGGCAGACAGCGCCCCGCTGTCGGAGGGTAGGGCCAGGGTGTAGGTGATGTCCGGGGGCGGGACGCTCGACAGGGTGCTGGTCTCCACCACGCGGTCCGGGTGCTGCTTCCCAACCTTGGCTGGAGAGGCAGGAACGTAGGTACGGGCGTGGCCAGGGCCACCGGGTGGACCAGGGGTGTGGCCAGGGCCTGCCAGGCAGGTTGAGGGCGTGGCCAGGGCAGGCTGGGTGGGCCCAACAGAGGCAGTCGGGGGCGTGGCCAGGGGCACAGCAGATCCCTAAAATCCTGGCCAGGAAGCTAAGGCTCCTATTGCAGGCCTCCAGGAACCCCCAGTTTTGTACAGGCGTGGACTGAAGAACTGGCCCCTCCTGTCCTTCCTGCAGCCTCAGGAGCCCGGGGACTGAATACCCCCATGGGTCACTCACACTTGGATGGCACGTAGTCGGCGTAGGTCTCAGCATGGCCCAGCTCCTCCGCCTCGTCCTCCTCCGCCTCATCCTCCTCCTCCGGCTGACTCTGTGACTGAGGCCCCCCGCAGGGTCAGCACAGCTGTCCAGTCCCGCAGTCACCACACTGCCCAGCCTACGTGGGGCAGGACCCTGGCGGACCACCCGGCCCGGTGGCCTGGTGACCCGGTGGTGGGAGACGGTGCTGCCTGCCCCACTGCAGGGAGGGGTTCCCCACAGCCTCAGTTTCCCCATCTGTAGAATGGGCACTCCCTGGGCCTGGCACACTGGAGGTGCCTGTATGCATGACCCTCCGTAAGGTCCTCCGAGAGGGGCGGGCCCAGCTCACCTGGTAGCTGACAAGAAGCGGGGTGCTGGGGAGGGAAGGCACGGGGTCCTCAAGGCCCTGAAATGGCCCGCTGGGCAGGAACAACTGGAGGGAAGCAGGACATTGGCCAGGGTGGACAGGGCAGGCCGTGGCCGACAAGCCCAGCTGCCCAGCCACCAGAGGGGACCCCCTGCCCTGGCTCCCCACAGTGCTGGGCTGTGCACTCACTCCTACCCTCCCTGGGGTGGCCTGGTGCACCCTCAGCCTCCCTGGTGGGCAGGCCCTAGGGCCTTGGCTTGATCTTGCAGGCCAGCACCAGTCTCCCTCCTGCTGCCCTCCTGGCCTGCAAGAAGCTGGCCTTGAGGAAGGTGCTTGGCTAGTTCTGATGGACAACAGCCCCCAGCCTCGGCCCAGTGGGAGCTGGTGGGGAGGCTAAGGACGGGGTCTGGTGGGTGAGACCCACTGTGCCAGCCCTGTGTGTGGGCAGGGGGCACTCAGGAGCAGGGGGATGTGGAGGCTGGGAGCTCCCTACCCGGGAGCAACTGGAGACAAAGGCCAGAGGGGTCGTCTGGGTAGGCAGGTGGGCCTGGCCCCATCTCTCACCCAGCTGACTCCCATCACCCAGGGAGGGGGCCGAGGGGAAGCCCCTCATTACCTCCCCCAATGGGTGGAGCCCCCTCACACAGGGACCAGAGGACACCACCCAGACCACAGCCCACCCTGGGGAAGGCACTGCCAGATCCCACCCAGGTGGACAGAGGGCAAGACAGACGGCACGAGAGAGTAGGATGGAGGGCAGGATGGAGGGCAGGACAGGGGACAGGAGAGAGGGCTGGCCGAGGGGTGCTGCCTCTGAGTCTGGGCGACCAGGTGTGGCCGGGCCTCTGGGCCGAGTCTGTGAGCCACTGGGGGACGTGGCCCACCCTGAGGTCTCAGAACTGGCTGAACGTGCAGAGCCTGTGATGGCCGGGACAGGAGCCCCAGATGCCCCAGGGGTGACGTGGCCCACGACCTGCCTGCCAGGGAGAATGTGAGCCATCACGTCCACCACCCAGAGTTGGAAACACCACCCACGTTATTGTAAAGGAGAATGGAAGTGGGGCAGGGTAGGTTAGAAACCTACACTGGATTCCCTGCTCCTCTTTCTTTTTTTTTAAATTTACAAAAAAACAAACAAACAGAAGCTACAGGGTTCCTGGAAGGCTGAGTCACCATTCCGGCCAGGCTGGTGGGGCCCTGGGGCGTTGGGTTTCAGATGCCCTCGTGCTGTCCACTGCCCGGCCCTTCCCTCACACCCTGCAGAGGACCTGTGGGCGGCTGGGAGGGCGTGGCCCTGGGTGAGGGCGGTCAAAGCCCCTCCCCGAACCTCCCTGATCCTGAGCTGCCCACCGTGGCCGCAGGGCACTCCGGACACTTCCTGCCCTCTGTGAGCCCCACGGCCCAGTCGCGTGTCCTACTGCCTGGGCCAGACCCTTCCTGAGGGCCCCCCAGGGAGCTGCCTGCCGGGGTGCGCCCACCAGCGTCCACTGGGGAGGGCCCTCAGCCCCAGACACATCTCCAACTTCCAGCTCCCTAAGTCTAGACGCTTCTCTCCTGGGAGAGGACCGTGGAAGGCCTGGCTGGGTGTGGGGTCTCCCTGGGCCCGGCGTCCGGCTCTGCCTCCCTCAGGACAGTGATTCCCCCGCTGCCCAGTGCTGGGGATGGGCTGCAGTCAGGGCCCAAGGACCCGGTGTCCTGTTGCCCTGTGACCCCCCAGGGCTGGCCTCGCCTGCCCATGTCGTACACCAGGAGCTCCAAGGAGGCAAACCCCAGCCTCCTGGGGTTTGGGTGCCCGGCCACGGCCCCCCAGGCTGGTGACCACCACTGGGCCTCCGTGGGTGCCGCCCCTCCAGCTCTGGGTGGTGCGTCATCCTCCCTGCCAGCCCTCTGCTCTCTGTCCCATCCCATGAGCTGTGTCTCCTTAGGGTGGACACTGGGGCTGGATGGCTCTGTGGGGGACTATCTTGAGCCCTGCAGGTGCTGAGCAGCATCCCTGGCCTCCACCGACCCATGCCAGGAGCACTCCCCCACCCAGTCGTGACAACCACAGATGTCCCCAGACATGGCCCAGTGTCCCCAAGGGATAGGACTGCCTGGGGAGAGAGGCAGTATCCAAAATCGCTTTCTGCTCATCTCCCAGATGAGCACCCGTCTCCCTGCAGGGATGGGGCCTGCGGGCCTGACCCACCCTCAGGGCTGCAGGGAGGCGCCCCCACATATTGCCGGCTGCACAGAAAGGAGAGGACCCTCGACTGACCATCTCACCCACGTCAGTGAACAGCCTGAGCCTCCCACGCCACAGGAGAATCATGATTCCGGGTGACCCCTGTGGGTCCCCCAGCCGGGGACGGGGCCTGGCCAGGCTCCTGTCTAGTCGGGGGCCCAGAGGCACTGACCTTGTCGTGGGCAGATGAGGGGGTGTTCACATCCCAGATGGTGGGCACCTGGCTGAGGCTGTCGGCCGGCAGGAAGTCGGGCGTGTCCACGATGTCCGACAGGGAGTCCACCGAGGAGGAGAAGATGGAGGCGTTGGACAGATCCTCGAGGTACGAGGAGTCCTAGAGGACAGGCCCAGTGAGGCGGGAGGCCTGGAGGGGCTCAAGTTCTGCCCTCCCTTCCCCTTCCCCAGCCCCAGGGGATGGGCCAACAATACACAATATGGTCCACCCACACACTGGAATGTCACTCAGCCACGAAAAGGGACGAGGCTCTGACACAGGCTACAACATGGAGGGACCTTGAGGACACCGCGCTCAGCGAGAGACGCCAGACACAGAAGGACACACAGTGTGAGACTCCATTTACATGGAACGTCCAGAACAGGCAGATCCACACATTAGTCGTCGCTAGGGGCTGGGGAGGGGACAGGGACGGCTTCCTCTGGGGTGACGGGATGTCCTGAGACTGGCAGCTGTGCGCTGTGACTGCACCAAAACCACCCAGCTGTACGCGGGATGAGTGAACCGCAAAGTTCATACATCGGGTCTCGGCAAAGTTGTTAAATAAAGTGGAGAAACAAGCAAAGACCAAGGAGACGCCAGCCCCGGGGGCTGGGAGGACAACCCTGGAGAGGGCGACACCACAGCCCTGAGCAGCGGGGAGCCCTGGAGGGACGGCCTGTCCCTTCCGGCAGAGGCGGTGACACCTAAGGGGGAGTGTGCCCTGCGGAGCTCGCGTGCCATTTAGTAACCCGCATGTTAGAAAGTCAGGCGCAGCGGTGGGGACCTTGGCGGCTCACTGGGGCGGCCGCGTCAGCACCTCCCCCACACGCCGCCCAGCCCCAGCCAGCACCTGCGCGTGCCTGGCTGCGCTGAACACTGGACACCAAGGGCACCTGCCCCCCTCCAGAGACCCTGCAGTGCCCCACGGGTTGGGGTGTCCGTGCTGCCCGCCTGTTTTGCAAACAAAAGGGCCCGAGTCCAGAGGCACACATGTCCCCGAAGGCTTGGAGCAGGGGACGGTGCAACCCCCACCCGGGCAGCTGGGGTCAGAGCAAGGCCTGAGTGGCTGGACCGAGGGAGTAGCCTCCCGTCCTCTGCTCTGGGACAAGGTGGTGAGGAGGAGGACGGGGGACAGAGGCCCTGCTCCTGCACAGAGCCGGGTGGAAGTGGCCCCCGATCTTGTTAAAATCCCTCCCAGCTGCGTCTGGGAGTGGCCATGCCCCCGGCCCCCAGTGCAGCCCGGGGACCCCTGCCAGAGCTCGGATGGGACCCCACAGCAGAGCCCCCACCCCCACATGGCCCACACATAGCAACCTCCTCCCCAGTGTACAGCCTGGGACCAGGGGAAGGGTCCTCATGGGGGGGACGCCTGGCCCACACCCCCAACGCCAACAGGCACAAGCCACGCTGTGGGCACAGACCCCGGACAGAAGGGCCTGAGGGGCCACCCCTACCAGAACCCGTCACCCCCGTCTAACCGCGAAGAAGATGCCAGACAGGCCGTCTGAGGGCACCAGGGCCACCCAGAGCAAGAGACAGGGACATCTGATGAACCGTCAGAGCCCAGAGAGGCCCAAGGAGACACGTCAGCTGAGTCTCCTGTGGGGTCCTGGATGGGCCCCGGGGCAGGAGAGGGCATGAGGGGAAACCGAGGAAGCCTGAATCAAGTATGGGCCTCGATAGTTAGTAACGACGTGTCACTGCTGGTGCATCAGCTGTGACAAACGCACGCGCCAAGGGAGACGTGCACGGTGGGGAAGCTGGTGTGAGGTGCACGGAACTCTGCCCCGGCGACCTGTCATTCCAGCTCTGTTCCAAAGGGCAGTGTCTGTTAAAGAAGCGGTGCTCGCGGCTCTCTGGCTCTGTGACTGCGGTCCCTGGCCCGGGCGCCCCTCTTGCCCCCAGCTGGAGCAGGACACCCAGATGGACAACCGGCAGCAGGGGCTCTGACTGCCGGCCTCATTTCAGGAACAGAGGGGTGGGGTCCACCTCTGCCCGGCCCTGCACACGCCCCGCACACGTGTGGGTGGTGAACTGGGTAGGAGAGGACACACCCTGCTTGCCTGCAGCCCTGGGCCCCCAAGGCCTGGGGCCACCTGCTGTGGTTCTGTCCCTCCAACGTTCCAGGGAGCCCTGGGCAGGGCAGGAGCTGGCAGGACCAAGAGAGAGAGCAGACACGCCCCCTCCTGCCCAAGGAGGCCAACCCAGAAACAACCCCCAGCAACAAGGTGCTGCCCCCTCCCACGGAGACACGTCCTCTCTGGACTAGTCCTGGTCAGCGGGAGGGACAGCTCTGCTGTCCACCCAGAGCCCGCCTCAAACCATGCCCACTCAGCTCGGCCGCAGATGATTTCCACAGAGCCCCCCATGCCCCCGGCCAGGAGCCCCTGGGACGCCCAGACTCCCCCACGGCACCTGGGACTTCTCCAGGGGAGACGGCAGCCCCTCCCACCCTTTCGCTTTGAGCCCCCTCCCTCCCCTGCACTGGCCTTCCTGCCCACACTTCTGCCAGCTTCTAGTCCCAAGTTCCCGATCCTGCCTCAGAACATTTCCACAGATTAACCCTTTAGTCCCAAGTCCCCAGTCTCTGCCTCTGAACATTCCCACAGATTAACTCTCGCTGCCAGAAAAGGAGGTGGGGGGGCAGGTGCAGCAGTGGGGGGGGCCCACTCACCCCCTGGGGGCCGGGGGCGTTACCTTGTTGAGAGCCCCAAACTGCAGCCAGAACCGCAGCTGCGACATGGTTGCGGCGCACGGGGGGCCCCGGGTCCCCCTGGAAGAGCCGCCGGGGAGCGGGTCCCTCATGGCAGCGGCCGCGGCTCCAGCATCGCGCCCGTCGGGGCGGACAGAGGCAGCGGCGCTGGGCCGGGCTGCATTTGCATGTTGGTTTAGTCACCGCTGCGCCTACTTCCTCTCAGGCCGGGCTGACTTTCAGGAAATGATGCCTGCCCGGTAAGTCAGGGCGATTACTGGCAGCACGAGGAGAATTACTGTACGGGGCGTAGCAGCCACAGCCGCCGTCAACACGCACTGGCCAGTGCCCCAACAGCCGGGAGCAGCCCCCTCGCGGCACTTGGGATGTGGGCCAGGGGGGCATGGGCCTCAGTTTCCCCAGCCTGCTAATGAGCTGGGTTCTGGTCCACCTGCCCCTGGCCCCACGGGCCTGGCAGGGACCCCAACTGCAGTTGGTGTCCCCACAGCCCCCCGAGTCACACGCAAGGAAACTGAGGCCAGGCTGGGTCTTCCACATCCCCTGAAAGCCCCTCAGGCCAGACTGAATCTCCTGAGACCCCAGCTCAACACGAGCCTCCACCCATGCTCCCCCAGGGCCTTCGCCTGAGCTGTGCCCCTACTTGGGTGCCCCCACCTAGGTGCCTCCTGCCCGGGAGCCCTCTGCGGCCCCAGCACGGAACGGTCACCAAGGCCCCGCCCTGGCCCTGGGTCTGGCTGTGGGAGCTGGATGGAGGGTGGGGCTTGCCCTGCAGCCTCCCTGACCTGGGGCTGGGGAAGGGGAAGGGAGGGCAGAACTTGAGCCCCTCCAGGCCTGGAGTCCCGGCCCGCCCCGCGCACAGCCCCTGGGAAAGAATGCTTTGGCTCCGGCAGAAAACTGAACGTACCCTGAGGTGCTGGGGGTACGGGGTCGGGCGGGAACCAGGGCCAGATGGGATGGGAATGGCTGGAGTGCAGAAGAGGGGACCCCTGTCCACCTGTCATGGACCAGGGGGCTCCTCCACTGGGAGGGGAGGGATGACGGCCCTGCGCTGCCCCCAGCCTGAGCCCAAGGGTGGGATTTGGGATGGGGCCAGCCAGTAATGCTGGCAGAGGAAGGAAACAGCCCCGAGGTGGCCCGGGAGCCCATGGCTGGGCCAGAGGGGCCAGGGGTCCCAGGCTGGTGGGGACCCCCCCAGAGCTCTCAAGGGAAAACAGGGGGCTCTAACCCTCTGGTGAAGGCCGCAGAGGTATGGCCCCTGCACACCCGGCCCCCAGGGCTCTCCCTGTTCTGGACCTTGACGCCCTCTGCCATCCCCACAGGGCCCCCCACCAATGGGACCCCCCGGCAGCAGCCAAGTCTGGCACAGATCCCCTGGCCGCCACGGTCATCCCTGCCTGTCTCCACCTGGGGGGACAACACGGCCCCAAGAGGAGCAAGTGGCGGGGGAATGCACAAAGGCTGACGACACGTCAGGGAAGGTGCCACTTCACACCCCAGACAGCGGCGAGCAGAGGCAGCGATAACAAGCATTGTGCAGATCCCATATGGCGGGTCCTCAGGGCAGGAAACAGAAGCAACATTTCACCTGGTGGATCCACTCCCAGATGGGCAGGTGTCCAAAAGGAACAAGAGCTCACATCCACACAAGAACACAGACATGAGTGTGCACACAGCACAAGTCACAACGGCCAAAAGGTGGGAAAGCCCAAATATCCACCAAAAACACGCACAGCGTGGTCCATCCACACACTGGAGTATCACTCACACATGAAAGGGACGAGGCTCTGACACAGGCCACAGCGTGGAGGGACCTTGAGGACATCGTGCTCAGTGAGAGACACCAGACACAGAAGGACACACAGCGTGTGACTCTGTTTATAAGAAATGTCCAGAGCAAGCAGATCCACAGAGACGGGACATGGATTTGTGGTCATCTGGGGCTGGAGAGGAGCTGGGGAGGGACTGATGGGGACAAGGCTTCCTTTTGGAGTGATGGAATGTTCTGGGATTAGACAGAGGTGGTGGTTGCACAACTCTGAATATACTTTTATGGTGTGTGAACTTTGCCTCAAACACATCAAAGTTAGATTTTGCGGGCATCACGTTTCTGAGAAGGTGCGAGCAAAGTGTTGGGCACGGACACTCCACTCCCTCTTCTCCAGATGACCCTCTGAGGGGCACCACAAGGCCGCCTGCCTCCTGGGACCGCGTGGCCGTGTCTCTCACCTCCCACTTCGGTCCACACGCCCTTGCTGACCAACTCTCCACTTGGCACTGATCGAGGCCCCCTGTGGCTGGGTGCCTGCAGGTGGTATATCCTTGTGTGACAGTTAGGGAAACTGAGGCAGGGAGATATACTGGGCTCCTCCTGGAAGGGGCTGGGAGGTGGATGGTCACGGAAGATTTCTGGGGGTTCGTGGTAGACAGGTGGTGCCACCTGGGCACCGCAGGCTTTGGGGGGCTGGGAGAAGGACTCTCAGGCAGTGCCTGTCGCTAGAATGCTCCTGTTCAGGGGTGGATTGTGTCCCCTGAAATGATGTGATCACATCCTGCCTCCTGGACCTGTGAAAGGGACCTTATTTGGGAATGGGGTCGTCATGTTGGGTTAGGGTGGGCCTTTACCCAGTGACTGGTGTTCTTAAGGGAAGGAGAGACAGAGACGCAGAGGACAAGCTGCGTGGAGACGGAGGCAGAGACTGGAGCAATGGGACCACAAGCCCAGGGACGCCTGGAGCCCCACACGCGGGGGGAGGCGGGAAGGACCCTCCCCTGGGGCCCATCAAGGGAGCACAGCCCTGCCCACACCTTGACCTCACACTTCCAGGCTCCAGAGCCACAGGAGGACACATTCTTATCCCCTGAAGCTGCCCCATTTGTGTCACTTTGTCATAGCAGCCCCAGGAAGCTACACGGCTCCCCAGGAAATTCTGCTCTGTCCCACTGGGATCACGGGCCCACGGAGCCCTGGCCACCGCATTCTGCAGATTCTCGCTGTCCAGGTGTCCGTCTGCAGCACGGTCACTCCCGGCCCTGGGGCCCAGGTGCCCTCGCACTATGTGGCGACCTCAGCGAGAGGCTCCTCCTCCCCCTGGGCTGGCCGGCTGTGAACCAAAGGGCTTCCTGTAAGGAGAATCTCTCCCTCCCTCCCTTTTTGTCCGATGCCAGTAACTGCAGGGACGGGACTCTGAGGCGCGGTGGGCTGAGACCTCTCCCCTGCTCAGGCGTGCGTGGAGCAGTCGATGCCGCGGCCGTGCGCAGCCAGCAGTTTGCACAGCACTTTCCTGAGCTGTGAGCTCATGCTGGGCTTCCCAGAAGCCCCCAGCGGGCAGGCGGAGTGTTCTTACTGGACAGGCACGCCTCATGGGGGTCCCTGCAGCCCCAGAGGGGGCTTGGGGTGGACGCCTGGCCCTGCTGACAGCTCCTGGGGGGCAAGCGCTGAGCCTCCCCCAAGCCCAGCCAACTTAAGGGGGCCTGGGTGACTCCGGGAGCCGCACCTCCTCCCAGAACAGACGGGCAGGGGGATGGGTGCTGGGGGGCAGGTGGGCTGGAGGCGGCCGTGGGCTGGGGACATAGGGACACTGGCCCAAGAGAGGCCTGGGACAGGGGTGGGTGGGGGCCACTCATTGCAGGGCAGGAAGGGACAGGCATGAGGGTGGAGGGGCCGGAGGGGGCCTCTGTGAGGCGCACAGGCCTCAGGGGGGTCTGCAATGCTGATAGCCCCGTCTGACCTCAGCACGGCCCCCTGGACAGAGCCAGCCACATGGGGGACGCACATCCACACAAACACACACACACGAATGTCATCAACAGCATGATTCACGGCAGAGCTGCCACCTACCCACAACCCACTCCTGGGCACACGCCCAGGAAACGAAAACACCTGTCCGCACAGAAACCCGTAGGCACACAAGCAGCACAGCCACCACACCAAGGTGGAAACAGCCCAGGTGTCCACCGACAGGTGAGTGGACAAACACACGTGGTCCATCCACACGTGGAACATCACTCAGCCATGAAAAGGGACGAGGTCCAGCGTGGATGGACCCTGAGGACATCGTGCTCAGTGAGAGACGCCAGACACAGAAGGACAAACAGTGAGTGACTCCATTTATATCAAATGTCCAGAACAGGAAGATCCACAGAGATGGGACACGTGCTACTGATGGGAACAGGGTTTCTGTGGGGTGATGGAATGTTCTGGAATTAGACAGTGGTGATGTTGTCAACTAAGAACCACAGAGTCGTGCACTATGCAATGATAACTTCTGTTTCATGAATTAAACCCCAATTCGAAAGAAAGAACGAGCACAGAGTCTCACATCCACGTAACCCCACGCACCTACACAGCCCAGGGTGGGAGCTCCCTGTGGGGCCCGCAGAGCTGTTCCAGGTCACCGACGGGGACAGCGGAGCCTAACGGCTTCACGCCGACCTGGGGACAGAGGCTGAACAGAAGTGGGGAGGAGGCCCTTCCCTGGAGAGTGGGTGACCTCAGGGCCAGGCTGGGAGGGTGGTGAACCCAGACCATTCCAGGGCGTCAGAAGGGAAGGGACGTCGAGGCACATGGAGCCCCTCCTGACATGGATAAATGCTTAAATAACTGTCTAGCGGGGCTGGGGGAGGGACAGCTGTCCCTATAGAATCCCAACCAGAGGGAGCGGAAGGAACGAGGAAAACAGACAATCTCAGCTGTTCAGATGGGGCAGTGGCACCACAGGCAAGACCCTGACAGACGCCCGTGAGCCCCGCCGAGCACCCACGCAGCCTCAGCTCCCCTCCCAGGGTGGGATGGAGCAGGAACCCACAGACACCACCCTGACCAAGCATCATGGTTGACGCCATCAGCTGACACCATGAGCTCGAACCCCAGGCCCCAAGGTGGACATGGCACCATGTCTAATCATGAGACACGCCACATAATCAGCAACCGGCCTGTTCTCTCCCGAGGGCCCTCCGATAGGAGGCCGGGGGCATCCACCCGAGTCTAGCCCGTCACCGGCACTGCACAGGGTAAATTCCTACATTGCGACCACATTTACGTGAGACCGTAAATTCCTACATTGTGACCACATTTACATGAGACCGTAACATGCCGGGAGGCAGGTGAGGGTGTGTGGGAGCTCTTGGTTTTTAGAAATATCCTACAAAAAGCCACTTTTCTCTAAGTCTAAAATATTTTAAAGCGTGATTTGTCATGGAAACTTTCAACCTTAAAGAAAACCTCGAACTTCATTTTTCAGAGAAGGCCTTTGCGCGGCACTGGTGCGTGAACCCGGGTCCCTAGGCTCTGGTGTGGGCAGCGGGTGCCCAGCGTGACCACCGGCGGCGCAGGCATAATCCATGGAGGGCCGCGAGGGTGGGTGCGTGGTGGCTATGCCTGGGGTGGGGCTATGGGAAGGAGCCCCCAGAGCTGCAGACAGGGCTGGGCATGGAACCGGATCCCTGCATTTCCGAGAGTGTGGGGTCCCGGCCGGGAGGCCCCACCTAAGTACCTGCGGACAAAGATCCCAGGGGCAGCTACTGGGGTGAGTGAGCCACTCGACACTCGACAGTCCATCCCCTGCCCAGCCTTGTACACAACCAGGGGATGGACCCAGGATGCTGAGAGGCCAACAGCCCAGGTGACGAAGGAGGGAGTGAAAAACCTCACACAGCAAAGCCAGAGTCAGGCCACCACGGAGCTTGGGGACTGCATGTCCATACGCAGTCACGGAGGACACTGGGCGGGGGGTGGTGGTGACCCCAGGGAAATTGGGACAACTCAGCCAAGTCAAAAAACGGTTCTTCACAATAAAATACTCTTCAGTAATGAGAGTGAGCAATTTGCAACTACATGTAAGAACTTGGGTGAACCTCACAAATATAGAGATGAGTGAAAAAGACAGAAATAAAAGAGTACGCACACTACGATTCTTTTTGTATAAAGTACAAAAATAGGTGAAACTACTCAATGCTGTTAGAAGTCAGAATAGTGGGCATAGTGACTAAAAGAGAACACAGATGGGGTGGTGGGATGCTAAAAATGTTCAGCTTCTTAATCAGGGTAGCAGAGGCATAGGTACGTTCAGTTTGTAAAAGTTCAACAAACTGTAGACATCTCTCCTGTGCACTTCTCTGTATGTAATATTTCAATAAAAAGTTCAAATACCAAAAAAAAAAAAAAAAAAAAACCACCAAAAACTGTTCTGCTTCTTACAAGCGATGAAAGTCACACAGATCATCCCCTTTCTCTTTTTGCCTTGGCTACCAGGAAGCTCAGGCCTCAAATTCAGTTACTAGCTACCCTAAGGTATCCTAAGGCTGCGGGTTTATATTTACTGTTTTCCCCACTGCTATACCTTCTGATTCTGGGGAAAGTACAGTATGCTGTGGGGCGCATGGGAGCTCCAAATTGGTGCATCGGTTTCCTCTCACTGTTGTGAGAAACCACCATAAACTTCATGGCTTAAAACAATAGAAATATGTCCTCTTATACTCTGGAGGGCAAAGTCTAGTCAGGGCATGGCAGAGCTGGTCCCTTCTGGAAGCTCAAGGGCAGAACCCGCCTCCCGCCTTTCCCAGCATCTAGCAGCCGCCCGGTCCCTCGGCTCGGCTCCCTCGGCTCAGCTTGGGGCCCTTCCTCCCCCTTTAGAGCCAGCAGCGCAGCGTCTTCCAGTCTTTTTGCCTCCAACTCTCCTGCCTCCTCGTGGGAGGGCCCTGTGCTGACACTGGGCCCCCGGGTCATCCAAGGTGACCTCCCATCTCAAGGTCCTTATCCCTTCTGCCACATGAGGTGACACACCCACAGGCCCCAGGATCAGGACGGGCATGTCTCTGGGGCCACGACTGCCGGCCCCCATGCTGTTGTGAAGCCTGAATCAGGCTCAGAGGGCTACCCTGGAGGGCAGGACACAGTTGTGAAGGGCTCAGGCCTGGTGTTCACAGGGGAGGTGAGGGAGGCTCCCCACTCACATCTGCCCTTTGCACCCCGGCCCCGGGTCAGCTTCCACCTGAAGAAAGTTCCACTGTTGTGACACGAAGACCTGGGGGGGTGGACGGTGGGGGCCGTGGGGACCACCTGACGGCGGTTGTGCGCGCCTCTCCCACGGCCCTCTCCTTCCTCAGGTGACCTTTGACCTTGCTCTCCAGCATGCAGGTCGCCCAGGTCCTCGCCTTGGCCCAGCCAAGGTCACCAGCCGGGCAGGCTCAGACCCCGCCCTGGCCCCTACCAGGCGTGGGGGCTCGCAGGTTCTCCTACCTGAGGGAAGTCACTGCTCTTTGGCGGGAAGCTGGAGGCAGAGGCCACGGGAGCGTGGCCGGTGTCTGGGCAGGGTGGGCCGCCCAGGAAGGAGGCAGAGTTCAGGAACTGGCTGGAGAGGGAGAGGGAGAGGGAGGATGGTGACTACGGGGCCTGGGGCTACACTGGGCCCACCCCCAGGGCTTCCTCCCACCACCCGACGGGAGCTGGCAGTGTGGATCGCGCATGGCGGCTGCCCAAGGGGCTCTGGCGAGGCCCCCAGGGGACAGCTGTGAGCATGCCCAGGCCTCAGAGGCCCCCTCAGACCTGTCCCCACAAACAGGGGGCCTCCGGGATCAGCAGCCAGACCTGGGGCTAAGCTTCCACCCCCACTGGACACGGAGCCCGGCCTCACGGGCAGAGGGGCCTGAGCGCCGTCCCGCTCCCACACATGAGCAGGACACGGACGTGGGTTCACCTGCCCTCAGGAAGGACTCTGGTGTTTCTGACACTGAGCTCGGAGGAGGCTCTGGGCGGGGGGCACAGGAGCCGACTCCAACCCCACCGGGCTGTCCCTCCCACACAGCCCCTTTGGCCTCCACCTCACTCAGGGTCACGATGGGGCAAAGGACAGTGCCATCCCAGAAACCCGGGAGCACCTTCCTCCAGGGAACGGGTCACGTCATGGCCCACACACCCGTGGCCTCTCTCCAGACCTCAGGAGTTAACCCTGCTGCTGGGTGGGCCAGGCTCTGGGTGGGCAGCGCTGTGGGAGCCTTCTCCACTCACACCCCGTGCCAGCTCCCTGGGTTCCCGAGGCAGAGGGATGGCTGCCATCCCCAGGGCCCCTGCCCCACCACTAGTCTCCCGGGCTCTCCCTCAAAAGCTTCTCATGTCCCTGCCCAGCGGGAGCCAGAGGGCTCTGGACCGAGGCAGCCTGTATGGAGCCACCACCAGATGGCAGCCCCCATGCAAGGACCCGTGGGTTTGCTAACACTAACAGAAAAGCAGCATCCTCCCCTGCCCCTTGTCACGCTTTCAGAATAAATCCCCGAGCTCTGTCCTCTGACCTGCCTCTTCCCCCAGGCCCCAGAACAGTCCCTCCAGAATCTTCTAGAACCCCACAAAGCATATATGCTCCCAGGCCCTCTGCAGAGGCTGCTTCCTCAGCCCAAGATGTCCCTGCTCCCCCTGGCAAACACCTACTGACCCTTCAAAACCCAGCTCAGCACGTCTTGCCCTTCCCTCTGCCCTCTTCCCAACTTCATTCTGGCTAACATGGATGCCGGCTGGTCACAAGGCAGGGTTCAAGAAAGCACAGCCTCAGCCACCCCTGTGCATCCAGGGCCTGGCCTTCTGGGTGGCTGTGTGCCAGGACCCCACGCGCGGCCCAGGGCAGAGGCGGGGGCCGGGGGGGGGTGCGCAGGGATTGGAGGCTGCGCTCCGAGGCGCGGCGGGACAAGGTACTTACTGGCTGCTGCTGGAGAAGGCTGGGTACGCCGGCGGCGAGAAGGGGTTCCACCACGGGTAGTGCAGCATGGCATTCTGAAACAGGAGAGCGGCGTCAGGTGTGGCGGTGTGGGGCAGACGGGGCCATGGGGGGGTGGCCTGCAGCACAGGGTCAGAATTCGAGAGGTGGAAAGGGAGGGCTCTGCAGTCAGGGTATGGCCAGGCCCCCCCAGTGGGAGTACCTGGGGAGTTACTTAACCACTCCATGCCTCAGTTTCTCCATCTGCAAGAAAGACTCCCCGACCTGGGCCCTGCAGGGGGAGGGGCCTCCCCACAGGGGAAGGGGCTGGGGCCAGGGGCCCATCTAGCTTCCTGATGTGTCCTGGGAACCCCGGGCTACTGTTGGGTGTGATAGGGGAAGGTTCCGGGGCCTTCTCAGAGTGCTCACGGGGCAGAGTTCCAGGGAACCTGCTTTGGGAAATGGTGGCCAGCGGCCGGGAAGGTGAGCCTGAGCTCAGCAGGGGTGCAAGGGGCTCGGGGGCTCCTGGATCTGATGGGACCACAGACTCGTGGTGCCCCCAGGCCGAGGCCCACTGAGCGCACCCACGCCTGCGCCAGAGCCCCGCCCCCCCTCGGGGGAAAAAGCTCACTGTGCCGGACCTCAACATCCACAGCCCCAGCGGGTCCCCCACGGGCAAGGGGCAGGAGAAGCCCTCAGGGTGGTCGCTGCCCTGTTCTCCGATTTCTGCACGGGTTGCAGGATAAAGTTTATCACAGAAAGAGCCACTGGCTCCTCCTCTGCACCACGGCCAGTAGGCTCTGGGCTTCCTATGCCCAGACACTTGGGAGAAATCCCCCGCACACGCCTCCGGAAGGAAGCAGGGCCACCGGGGCCTGGGCGGGATCTCCCAGAGCCCTGGTCTCGTGTTCCTTCCCCCTCTTACCCGTAGGGGGAGAGAAACGCAGCCCCAGAGAGGGACATGGGCTTCCTAAGGCCACGTGGCACATCTGGAACATTCCAGAGCAGAACTCTGACTCCAAAGCCCTTTTGGCCTCCTGAAATGAACTAGAGTAAACCATCTCCGGGTGCATGGGCCTCGGGCAGCGGGCAAGCTCACCTGTGGCTCCAGAGGGGTGCTGGGGGTCTCAAGGGCAGGGTGGGAGGACCAAGGGTCCTGGGCCCACCCGACACGCTCTGCCTGTGCCCAGGCCAGGCCTGGGGCCACCCTCGGGGAGCTCCGAGGGCAGGCTGGAGGCCTCGGCTGGGCCCTGGGACAGTACCCCAACGTCGACTGGGCCTGCTCTGCTGGGGGCTGCCAATCAGAGCCTGCCTGGGGACCTTCCACTGCAGCCAGAAGGGCAGGCCCTAGTATATGATTAGCCCAGAGATGGGCACCTGACCCCGGCCAGGCAATCAGAGCCTGCCTGGGGATTTTCTACTGGCAGCCAGAGGGGCCACACTCTCCTGTTAAGCAGCAAGGGTCTGCTCTAGGGCTACATGGTCTCCTGGTCACTTCCCAGCCCAGTCCGCAGTGTGGCCTGTGGGACAACCATCACAGATACCCGTCGCAGCGCAATCTCAGGGAGGCTTCCCGTGGTTTCCTGATTGCCCAGAGCAGGGCTCAGAGCCGAAGTCAGGGTTGAACCCAGCATCTCTCGCACCAGCGTCCCCATCACCGCCCAAACATCCCCCCAGACTCCAGTTTCTGAGCCCCTCTGGGCCAAGTCTGGGTCCTCACGGCTGCCCAGGTGGACCTTGAGTCCTGGTCGCTGGTCAGCTTCCTGGGTCACCGAAGAGGGGACTTGGCAGGGACACGTTCCTGAAGGAACAGCTCCATCCTTTGAAAACTCGCCAGGCACTCATTCTGGCCCAGGAATTCTATTTCGGAAACATACCCCCTGGGACTAATCCATGAGGGGGGAGGAAAATGCAGCAGGACTATTTATAGCGGCAGAAAACTGGAATCTCCCCAGAGGCTCAACAACAGGAAAATAATTAAGCAAATTATGGCAAGTGGGGATGAAGGGACCGTCCTCAGGACAGTGTTGGCAGTGACAACTGGTGGGAGGAGACCTAGAGGGAGGCTGCAGAGGTGTGGAGGGTCCAGGGAGGGCCCCAGACACAGCCCCAGCAGGAGGGGAGGACCGAGAGGAGGCTGGACGTGGCAGGGCCTTGAACCCTGGTGGAGGCCCTGGACAGCGGCCCGGGCTCTCAAGCAAGTGACGCTTTTAGCCCCAATCGGCATTCGCTCCCTCAGCTCACAGCCCGTGAGGCTCACTTTCAGTAACTTCGCGTTCCACGTGGTACCACGTCAGGTTATGATGTGGGCACATCTGGGCAAAGAGTCAGCCACAGGTCAGCACTGTGCCCTGCCCAGCCCTTTCCCAGAGCCGTAATTATGGGTCTGGGGCACCTCCGACCGTTCCAGCCCTTCTAACCCTCAGGTCTACACGACATTAGCGGTCTGTTTCCCAGCTCCTGGAAACCTAAGCTTACTCTTTTTTTTTTTTTTGAGATAGCTTCTTTCTTTGTCACCCAGGCTGGAATGCAGTGGTGGCATCACAGCTCACTGCAGCCTCCAACTCCTGGGCTCAAGCGATCCTCCTGCCTCAGCCTCCCGAGTAGCTGGGACTACAGGCACCACTACGCCTGGATTATATTAGATTTTTTTTTTTGAGACAGAGTCTTGCTCTGTCACTCACGCTAGAGTGCAGTGGTGTCATCATAGCTCACTGTAACCTCAAACTCCTGGGCTCAAGTGATCCTCCTGCCTCAGCCTCCCGAGTAACAGGGACTACAGGCATGTACCACTCTGCCTGGCTAATTTTTCTCTTTTTTGGTAGAGATGGGGTCTCACTATTGCTCAGGCTGGTCTGGAATTCCTGACACCAAGTAATGCCCCTACCTTGGCCTCCTAGACTGATGGGATTAAAGGAATGAGCCACCACACCAGCCAGATTTTTTTTATATTTACAAAGATTTTTAGTGTTCTGATAAAATTTCTGATCATGAATTTCAACAAGATAACAATGGAACCCTTCATATGATAGGAAATCATAAAGTAGAAAATGTACACCTGTCCCTTGTGTTCCTGGGATTTCTGAAGCAAATCTCAATAACACCACTACTCACACACATTTCAACATGATGCTAAAAGCAACAAAAATCATTTAAAATAGAGTTCCTCAAAAATACACACAGATATTCCGTTGTCCCCAAAAGCAATGAAAGATCACTTAGATCATGCACTTATAAGCCATCACCTAGATCAGGCACTTATAAGCCATGAAGAGGACTTTGGCTTGAAGGATGATCACTGAAAAGAAGAAGAGTTCTTAGAAAATTTTAGAGCATGAGACAGAAGATGCTCCTATGTCACAGCAAGCAAAAGAAATACAGGCATCTCAGAAACCATTTCCATTGCAGCAGAGCTTCCCAAGCCACATTTTAAGATTCGGCTTTCTCCTAGACCTCTGGATCTCTCATGTGTGTCATCTGCTTTATTCACTCCCAGCTACCTGGGTGTTTGGCTACTATCTCATGTCTCTTCACATCCCAGGGCTCTTTCCTTTGCTCCAGACAGGCAATCAGATCCAGCATAAAGGCAGCAAGACCTATTTTATTAGAAAAAATTAACATGACTCTTCCTAGGATTCTCCAATTACCAACCCAATACTATGCTTACTAAAGAAGAGTGAACATTGGCCGGGCGCAGTGGCTCACGCCTGTAATCCTAGCACTCTGGGAGGCCGAGGCAGGAGGATTACTTGAGCTCAGGAGTTCGAGACCAGCCTGAGCAAGAGCAAGACCCCATCTCTACTAAAAATAGAAAGAAATTAATTGGACAACTAAAAATAAATAGAAAAAATTAGCCGGGCATGGTGGCGCATGCCTGTAGTCCCAGCTAC